TCAAGTCTGTCAGTTGGATCCTGAGTGGGGTGTTGGCTATTCCTGCCAGCTTAGTGTCAACTGCAAATTTGATGAGTCCTCCTCCTATTCCCTTATCTAAGTCATTAACTAATTCATCTAAGATTACCTTAGAACTGCCTTGGAGCATGTCATGGACTAGGTCTAACTTGACATTTATTCCTAATGAGGGTCTACCAATACTGCAATAGTGTCAACATACCTGTGCAAAAACTGTAGCTAGTAGTGAGCTTTGAATCATACAACCCTTCATCCTCAAGAATTGCAATGTAGGTCTATGAAAGCCAACTGGAATTGTAAATAAATCTATTTTCATTGAATCATATATATATATGATTATATATATATATGATTATATCATATATATATATTAGTCTCCCGATGGGCAGCAGGATGCTTGCTGGCTGCCTGAAAAAAGCCTAGGAACTAGTGGATTGTGATTTCACTGAACTAGGGCTGCATAAAAATCTTGGTTTACGTCGGAAGAACCTGACACACACACACATATATTTGTTTTCTGAGGTTTTTGCTGGTGTTTGTATGTAGGTCTTTGGTTATTCGGGTTTTCTCCTGCGTAAAATTGGAAGTGTCTTGGAGAAATGTTTCGCCAAGACACTTCCAATTTTACGCGGGAGAAAACCCGAATAACCAAAGACCTACATATATATATATACATACATACATACATACATACATACATACATACATATACACACACACACTTCCTCTCATCTTACCCTTGTTATCTTACTTACCCATAAAGTAATTGGTTAGTAACTTATGTTTAAAAAAAAACATGGTCACATTCATGTCAGGAAAAAAAAAGAAAAAGAAACAAATCCAGGATTTAGAGTACAACACATTAAAAAGGGGAAGAGAGATACATATAGTATGAATAAGCAGTGCACAGAAGAACTCAACGCCTTAACCATTCAGAATGAACTTTGGCCTTCCAGTGATCACTCTTTAGTACTTAAGTCTTCATAAATTTCCATCCTTTATAGAGTGTTTTTGATGGCAGACAATTCTTTGCTGAAAGTTAAGTGCTCTTTTATATGATCATATAAAGCAGGCTTTGGTTTGAATGGGTACATTACACTGACAAATGTTTATTGGAAAGCCAATTACAGCTTCATAAATCAAGGCCCTCTGACACAGATAGGGTAAACTCACAAGTACCACCAGATGTCACAATTGAGCCCAGCAAGGTAATTCAAATAATAGCACGGAATCCTGTCCCTCATCCATAGCACTGACAGTAGTCAAAACAGGAAGAAATAGTTTATTATCTTTCATTTAACTTATTAAAATACTTGTTGCAGGATGTCATGGCCAACCTGGAGTTGGGGGGAAAGGGGGAATGCATTTGTTTTCAATTTGCAGATAGATTAAAATGACAAGGTCAAGCACAATCCACTGGCAGATTGGCAGCTAAATTTTAAGGTGGACACAATTGTGTGCATACAGCTGAGTAAAATCTCCGAACTCTTTTACCATTTAAATTTTGCAAAAGGGCAACTTATATTTGAAATGCAACAGTTAATATATGCATGTTCATATTACTGTTTAAGTAGATTGATATTAATTGAAAATGATCAATAAATATTAGAATGTCCTTTTAAAACACACCTAACCAGTACAGCCTTGGGTTTATTGTTTATTTGCAAGAAATGCTTGTAAATTTCGCTCTATGCTGTATTTATCTGTATATTGTTCTAATAAATGAGCCCTCATGTGGTGAAATCAAGAAATTACATGGCAGATGTAATTACATGGCAAAGCCTATCTTTGAGTTAAATGGAATAAACCAGAGATAGCTTTTAAAATACTTTTAATGATTCTGAGGAATCTTCCATCCTGATGAGCATAAGAGAAAACTTTGTTCCTTTCACTAAATTCGTTTTTGTGATAATCATAAAGCAGGCAATAGGGGGAGAGAGAAAATTCCTGCAGCAAGCTAGATCATTATTGAATAACAGTTTATTGAATAAATAAGAGTGGGCTTGGTTCAAAATAACTTGTAAATCATACAATATTTTTGTTATACATTTTATTTTATTCAAAACAAGGTTAAAATACAAAGCTCCCAAAAAAACCAAAAGAAGACCAAAAGAAAAAAAGAAAACAACCAAAACATTAAAAAGGGGCATCAGAAAAAACACATATTTACATATTATTCCCTCTAATTGAATAATTATTAATACAACTACATTAATTAATTAATTAATTAATTAATACTACAACATTATTTCAATATTTGTTCCCACCTCTTGTGAAACATTTACATTTTGTAAATCATATAATATAATAGATTTTGACACATGGTAGGCAAAACTAAATAAATGCTATTGACTTTAAAATTTAATAACAAACAAAACTTCTTGAGTTCCTAGAGCAGGCGTGTCAAATTCAAGGCCCGCAGGCTGCATCTGGCCTGCAGGGTGCTTAGATCTGGCCTGCAGGACCGCCCTGGAAACAGTAAAGGACCAGCCCTCACTGCTTCTGCCAGCAAAAAAGGAGCCCGGGAGGGCCGTGTGCAGCCCCCTGGCCCCATTTATGACCATGATGGCCTCCTGCAGCCCTCTGCCAGAAAAAATGAGCTTTGTTTTCACTGGCAGAGGGCTGCAGTAGGCTGTGGTGGCCAAAAACAGGGCCCCAGGGGGTGTGCACAGCCCCCCAAGCTCCATTTTCACTGGCAGAGGGCTGCAGGAGGCAGAGGGCTTCATTGCAGCCAAAAACAGAACCCAGGGGGGCCACTTGCAGCCTTCCCAGGCTCTGTTTTTGCTGGCAGAGGGCTAGCAAAACAAACTAAAAACAAAATGAGAAATGTTTCTCCTTTTGCATTTGAGCATGCAAGAAGGGACAGCAAAGGAGAAAGGGAAAGAGGAAAGACAAAGGAGAAGGAAGAGGGAAGGAAAAAGAAGAAAAGGAAGGAAGGAAGGAAGGAAGGAAGGAAGGAAGGAAGGAAGGAAGGAAGGAAGGAGGGAAGATTATAATGAGAGTGAGGGAGGGTCTGATGGAAGTCCTGCCTTAGCACTTAGCCACCACAGGTGCCCCTCACAGGAATAATGTCGAGCTGGCCATGCCCACTCCGGTCATGCCCAGCCCGGTCACATCCATCCCAGTCACACCCACCCAGGTCATGCCCACCCTGGCCCCCCAAGGTCAAACACAACCCTGATGCGGTCTTCAATGAAATTGAATTTGACACCCCTGTCTTAGAGGAAGTCATAGATCAGTCTTTCGTAACCTTTTTTTTTCATTCAAGATCCCTTCCCATTTTTATGAAAGACTCAAAAGAGATTTTGTTTGTATGGGTTATATTTATCTATATTTACTGTAAAAATTAAAAATGATGCATAAGCTAACATTACCACTTGTCACGTTTGTTGATGGGATTTTAAAATTGTATTATTTTTCAACATAGGCAGGCAAATAATGATATTGTGGTCCCTGAAAGGGTCTTGGGGCCCTTCAAGAGCCCTAGATCCATATTTTAGTCACTGACTTAGTCCTCGACTTACAACTACAATTAGCCCAAAATTTGTGTTGCTAATTAAGACAGTTGTTAAATGAATTTTGCCCTATTTTATGACCTTATCACAGTTGTTAAGTGAATCACTGTTCTTATAAAGTTAGTAACACAGTTGGTTAAATGAATCTGGCTTCCCCATTGACTTTGCTTGAGAGTGAGAGAAAAGATTTGGTGAAAATAAATTGATGAAAAACACACTGATCTTACCTGAATGTCAAGGAGCAAAATAAGTTTGAATGTCTTGAAAATCAGACTTTTAAACACTGTTCCAAGTTTTGTTATAAAATGTATACTGTATATTTCAGTCTTAGTTTATATACAGTAGTGGCCAAAATTGTGGAAACCTTTTGGGAAAACTGCATTTTTGAGGTTTGATGGCTAATAACACCACTTTATTGATTTTGGTCTCATCACTCCAAATAATACTGTCCATTGTTCCTCTGCCCAGGTAACATGGGTTTTTAGCCCAGTTTAGTCTTTTCAACCTTTGTTTGAGAGATAAAAGTGGCTTTTTTCATGGAATTCTAGATATTAGGCCAAATTCCTGCAGTCTGCGCCGAACAGTCCTTGTACTCAACTTCACATTGCATTGCACCATTTCATCTTGTATTCATCCAGATGATTTTCTTCTGTCACATAGATACAGTCTCTTAATTCTTCTATCATCACTTGCTGTTGTGCACCTTTTCCTGCCTTTACCAGTGTGGTTTTGTACTGACTGAGTCTCCTTATACCAGGTTCTGACAGGTTCTGGAGAACCGGTAGCAGAAATATTGAGCAGTTCAGAAAACCAGTAGTGGAAATTTTGAGTAGTTTGCAGAACTGGCAAATACCACCTCTGGCTGGCCCCAGAGTGGGGTGGGAATGCAGATTTTGCAATATCCTTCCCCCAGGAGTGGGGTGGGAATGGAGATTTTGTAGTATTCTTTCCCTGGAGTGGGGTGGAAATGGAGATTTTGCAGTATCCTTCCCCTGCCACATCCCCACCAAGCCACATCCACCAAGCCATGTCCACAGAACCGGTAGTAAAAAAAATTGGATTTCACCACTGCCTTATACCTCTTCAAAAACTTAGAAATGCCACCTTTAGTTAAGTTTCCACCAATTTTTCTTCTAATTTCTTTATAACTGTAGCCTTGTTCACTTAATAATACTCTTTTACATCACTTTCTGGGCGACCATTACTTTAATTTTATTACGTTTTACAAGCTCACTAAATGAAAGAACCCAAACAACTTGATAGCAATCACATAATACACTGACAAATGTCCTCCTCTCAGTTTCAATACATGACATCAATAACTGAACTCTACTGTGATCTGATTGGCTCATTGCCAAAACAAGATAACACCTGATTGGCTCTCTAAACTCCCGTACTCGTTGGCTACAATCATATGAAGGAAAGCTACCTTATATGAACCTAAGCAAGTTGTGCTTCCTTTTTCTGGTTATTTGGCTATAACTTTTTATAGAATACAGATAACTGAACAAACTTTGTTGCATTACATTCTTGATTAAATTATCTCTCCATTGATATATAATTTTATGATACTATTCCAAAAAAACCTCAAAAATAAACTTTTCCCAAAAGGTTTCAACAATTTTGGCCACTACTGTATGCACAAGTAGGACTGTTAGGTCAGGGTTGCAAAAGTTAGTGGAAGCAGAGAATTAAAAGTTTCCAAAATGATATATTGCCATCTAACAATCATACATATTTTTGAAAGCCAAATCTAGCATCCTTTATTGTATCAGAAATTTACTAAATCTGCAGGGTTCTACTCTTTCTACTTCTAGTCCATCGATTTCATCTTGTGTGCAATAAATATTAGGATGAAAATGAATATAATATATAATAAGAAAAATAATACCTAATATTAGGAAGATCACAGCTACAATAATCAATGTTGACAAATATATTTTTTCATCAAGTAATGATTTCCAGTACCCACATATGCACAGTATAATTACAGTTACAATTATTCGAAAAACATAATAAACAGTCTGGACAATTGCTGTGTTTTCTCCCTTGATATTAAAAAAGGTAAAAATAAGAATGATTGCCACAATCAACCTGTAAACAGATTCTGTTACTTTAAATTTACAAAATTCAGTGTTTTGCTTTATCACCCAGCTTAGATTCACAAACCAAAGAATAAGTAGCAGAACAATAGAACCTATAATGCTCAACATTGAGAGTAAGACAATGGTAAGTATCCAAGAAGTTAATGTCATGAGTTTATAGAAAAGATATATAAGTTTGCAAACTACCCCACTAAATTCATTTTTATCAGGCAGAGATTTTCGCAAAATTATCTGATAGTTCACTGTTGCACAGGAAATGCTGCAGAAAGACAAAGCGATGGAAACATCTTTAAAAGAAAACAAAAATAGGGAGGGTTAGTTCAGGCCAAAAAAAGTTGCTGATTTTTATATTAAACACTTTTTTAAAAAAAGGTGGATAACATAGGATCATGAACAACTTAGTCTAAAATTTCTTCTAATCAACTTGCACTAATGGAATGTCTTCCAAAGGGAATAGATCTTCAGTCATAATTCATGTTGCCTTGATTTGAGGATTGACATTTATGATTATTAAAATTTATTTGCAACCTTCCAGGATGACACTATTCCCAAAGTGGTTTATAGCTAACATAAAAGTAAAAGCAAAAGCAAAATAAACTGAGATAATTTTGAAAATCAGTCTTTAGGTGCCTCTGTACCTGAAATAAAGCTGAGGGAAACTAAAAGTTAGCTACCAGGCCAATAATCTCCTTCTGCAAAGGTACCCAAATTGGTGGAAGTGTTTAGTCCAGATAAAGTCTTTTTAAAATTGACCAAGGTCAATATTATATGACTTTGCATTATATTATATTATATGACCTTGTATTATATTATATTATATTATATGATCTTGTATTATATTATATTTAATACTTAATTACAGTATTAAAATACTTAAATACTTTAATTATTTTCAAAGGTAGTAATTGATTACACTTTGCAAACCTTAATCTTCATTACACTTTGCAAACCTTGGTCTTTATTGTAATGTTGTAAAAAAAATATTTTTACATAAGTACATTGCATTTTTGCATTTTTAATACAGATTAGACTTACATTGAGAAAAAGTAGAATCGTCAGATGCCATCACAATGTGGATCTGAAGGATAAGCTGGGGGGTGCTTTCCAAGAAGGCTTTAAATAGCTGAAGCATACTTATATCGGCCATTGCACTGAAGCATAAGTTGTAGTTGGTGGAACTGTTTGATATAAATGCAGCCCGATAGCCATGTTTTAATGTGAAATAGTATCTATAATGAGAAAAAAAAATAACTCTCTTTAAAGTAAAAAGCTAGACGTATAGAGAATTAGATGTAGATCAATCTTCCATTTCACCACTCCTCCCTGCCAAACCCCAAACATTTTATTAAAAGGAAGATGATATTTGCTTGATGCTGATAGCTGAATAAAAAATACTGCTTTTATTGATATAAATCACCAATAGATGGCAATACTGAGGTGCTAGATAGAAGATCAGACATGTTTTTTAGGATCTTTTCTTCCCGTTCAAAAGGTAGGAACTTGCTATGGGGGATGGGCGGCAGAAACAACTCCTGTATTGCTGTTTGTGAAATGACAGCTTGCAGGAAGTATTTAACTGTCTGCTTTAAACAGTGGTCTGTGAGTGCATTTTTGACTGCTGAAGGAGTCCTTCCAATTGAATCCATCTAACCATCCACACATACACTTTCACACATCTTGCATCACAAGGCTTGAGATTCAATTTTTTGTTTTTACAATCCAGCTGCTAAAAGCATATTGTCCCTTTTTCCCCATTGGGATATAAACAGGATAATATAATTCCTCTTGCATACAAAAGGGCCTTCATTTATTGGTAATGGCAGACTGAAATTATTTCTGTCAAATAGTTCTCATCTATTATGTACAGCATAGGAAAGCAGTGTGATGCAAAGTACCCAGCATGTACATGTTTACTTGGAAAATATGCCTGAATTCTTTATATATTAATATTGAAAATAGGGCTCATAGCAGCTTAACATTCTGATTGATTTTTAGCATATGTGAATTTTCAAAGCTGAAAAGGTTGTAAGTGTATGCTAGCATTTTCCATAGTACCGTGAGACCAGGAATACTCCCCAGTTCTCTAAGTATCCTTGAGGCTAAGACATAATATCTTAATAATAATAAAACTTAAAACAAATAATATATTAAATATTTCAAGACAGATTAATTCTTGTTTCCTATACAACTTTTGCGATTCAAATCTTGAGTGTTTGGTATTGGGAGCTACAGAAATTATTTCTATTGTCAAATTGTATCATATCAAGGGATTAGAACTGAATGACAAAACAGTAGTTTTGCAGCATGTTCCAATATCCCTTTGCCATTATTTCAAGATTTTCTCTTAGAACAGTAATTCCATACTTCTTGTCCATCACTATGCTGCTATAACCTATGCCAATTTTAGAAATACACCTCATTGAGGTCAATCAGTTAGCCCCAGTAAGGTTTGTATCATAAAGATAACTTTTTCACCAGGGTATAAGCATACCCAACTACTATTAATTCATACTTATATGGAAGGTTCCATAAGTTCAATATATGCAAATCCTGAAAGTTTTAAGTTTTATACAACTGTATTTGTTTTCCAGAAGAATGCAGTCAAAAGATACTTTCCTTTCCCCTGTTGCCCTCTAATTCCAAATCTGCTCCAGAGGATTAGAATTCTCCAGACCAAATTCGGGAAAACAGAGGAGTGCAGGAAGAAATGAAAAATATTCATATATTCACCCACAAGACTATATGCGTTCCAAAATATTTCAAAACTGAGAATGTTTGACCATGAGAATGTTGTTTACATTCTAGTCAATTCATTTTTAAATTCTTAGAGCAGTAAGACCCTTTCAGAATTCACTGTCTTGTTTGCATGGCATCAAAATGAAAAATGCTGCTTTGCTCTGTAGTTATAAGTACAAAAAAAGAATGGTTGTGGTTGCGAAACCACGTCAGAATAGTTTAAAAATTCAAGTGATTTCTGCAATGGTAGCAGTGGTAGAAATCATAAATCTGTTCTGTTCTCATCATAGAAGATTGGGTTTGCTGATAAATTTATTTTCATAAAATAATTCCTTTGCTGCTGCTTGATAACACTGTGACTGAGTTGTGATCAGGGGTGGGTTCTACTTACCTTTACTACCAGTTCGCATTGCGCCCGCGCAGTCTTCTGCGCATGCGCAGATCAACTTTGATGATGTCCGGGTCAGTGGGTGGAGCTTCCCGCCGGTTTTATTACCGGTTCTTGCGAACCGGTCCAAACTGGGGGCAACCCACCACTGGTTGTGATATATTGTATATACATATGTTCTGGTTATTGCATCTCTAAGTTATATGAAAATTGTGTTCCATTTCTATTTGCAATGCACACTAGAAAGGTTGGGTGTTCTTCGAAAAAGATAAAAAATATGCACACTGTGAAACATACGGCTGTTGACTGCAGAGTATCATGGTTGCTAATGACTTTAATGGTCTCTTATTAGATGGAATGCCCCCTTTTCTCATATGTGCTGGATGTTTGTCTGATTGCCAATAGAGAAACCATAGATTTAGGTCTGATCCTTACATCAGAATCTGCTGGTGTGCTAGTGCTATCAAGAGCCCCTAGCTATAATGCAAAGAGCAGGATTTATTTTGATTAAGCATCCTTCCAAGAAGACAGCTTTTGCATCATAGGTAGAAACAATGGAGAAACCAGCTACTACATAAAGTAGGAATGAGAGCACTAAATCAGCACAGGGGCCTTTCCTCCATTCACATACTTTAAAACTATATAATTCCCAACAATGACCAGCTTTTCATTGTTTTTCTCAATCCTAAAACAGCTGCACTATTGAGTTAAATGCCTTTCATCATATGGAAAAATAGGCTATAGTATCTCTTTGCAGCTGCCAGAGTGTTGACTGTATATTTTATGACATTTCAACAATTGGCTTTAATTAACAATGTTCAGAAATACAGTTCTTACTCTCTCTGAACATTTCTAGAGAGGTAGAAGTAGAGAGGCAATAGCAGATAAACAGAGATAAAGACAATTTATCTGAAATGCTATATTGCACCAGATAAAAGTGCCTTTCTCCCCCACCATAAAAACAATGTTCCTTCAATAGAAAATATTACCAAAAAGCAAGAATGCAGCTGTGAAATAACATCAAGGAACTGATTCCTGTTCCTTTGAGAATGCCTCCTGTGCAGGCAGAAAGGTAAGTCTATTATCTGTCAAGATAACACTACTTTCTTATGTTATGTTATGTTCTTATGGACATGTATTTATCCTTCAGAATAACCCTGCATGATTTTTTTAAATAAAACAATCAAGAACATTAACCATCTGGTTCTAGTATCTAAGCACTGTAAAATCCAGAAAAATAAGTCGAGTAAATCAGGCTGTTATACCATTCATTCATTCATTCATTCATATGACCCTTTTGTTTTCCAAGCTGTGTTGTAGTCAGACTGACTATTTTACAAAATTGCTGATAAATTCACAGCTTAGAAATTACTTTTGGACTTTGCCTTACACTGAATCTCATAAAGTAATATATTTATTGTACCTTTTAGGGAGAAGTTGATGAATTACATTTGACTCTACTTCTTGAAAGCTAGTTAAATATAAATTGAATTATAGATATTGTATGAATATATGGGTTTGGATTGTTTATCTTTAAATTTTTTATCAGCTTACAGAATAGGTCACAGGTGTCAAACTCGATCGCGTCACAGGCCGGATCATGACATACCATGACGTTTTTTGCCTTTGAAGAGCCGGGGTGGGTGTAGCCTTTGCGTGATATATCTGGCCCATGGGCTGCTAGTTTGACAGGCCTGGAATAGGTAAACTCTAATATCTATGGAGATATCAGTCATCCAAGTCATGGTTGTCCCAAAAGTGCTTTTTCAGGGAGCAAGTGGACTTTCTCATTTTTCTTTGAAGACATTTCGCTTCTCATCCAAAAAGCTTCTTCAACTCTGACTGGATGGTCAGATGCCATTCCAGAGGCCTTCCATTCCCCACCATCCAGTCAGAGCTGAAAAAGCTTCTTGGATGAGAAGTGAAACATCTTCAAAGAAAAATAAGAAAGTCCAGTTGCCTCCTGAAAAAGCACTTTTGGGTGAACTCTAATAAGAATAATGTAAGAACTGAATGGCTAATAATTCAGACAAAATGAAAGAAATGAAAGAAATGTGTGATTTTATGATCTTCAAGATATTGCTGACCTACAGATTTCTGATACTGTACAGTAACACCTAATATCCTCTACTTGTGTATTAGTGCAACAAATACTTTTGTCTTCCACTGTAACCTATTTTATTAGCCTTTTGATGGTTTTCTGCATATAATGCATAGAAGACAGTTACCTTCAAGCAAAGAAACTAGCTGAAACAGATTAGCTTTGCCCTTTGGGAAATCAAGCATATCATCTTCATTTTGACCCCCACGGCAGATCATTGTCTTGGATGTCAAACTGAAGTGCCAAATGTATTATGCCTCCTTTACACAAATCTACTATAAACTGAATGAAACAATAATTTATAGAAACCTTATTCGTACAGGTAGGAATAATAGTTTGAAATGTGAGAAAAAAAATTTAACAAGCAGTCACATTATGTGTTAACATCATCTCTATCTATAAAAATTCATTTAATGCCCTTATAATATAGTATGTCGGCTCTAGGTTAAAATTCAGCACTTACCTTGTAAATAATCCACCATATAAAGAATGTAATAAATAAAACGTCCAAGCAAGCTTTTCAGTTTCATCTTCTTTAAACCAGGTACAACTGAAAAACTGAATAATTATTGATGAAAACAGTCCTGTGGACAGTATTAGGATACCTTTCAAGTACTGGCCTTCACACAAAAAGTTCTTTGCCGTCCAGAGATCTGTTCCAATATCAAATGTATAAACCACAAGCCCAAAAAGAATAATTAAAAAATCTACCTTAGTAAATCTTTTTTGTTGTTTTTCATGACTGACCACTTCATTGCAGGTAAAACAATTCAAAATGTTTTTCTTAGTAGAATGAAACATGGGGGTTTATGTTGGTAAAAACAGCAGGTTAAACTAAAAAGTCAGGTCCACAAGTGTATTATGAAATGTGTTTGACCACTAAATTGTCATTAAGAAGGTAACCACACACGGTTTAAAATATGCTGGCGAGGTTAATGCTTCCTTATGAGTCCTGAAAAGAATAAATAATTAGTAACGAAGTAATTCAGAGGTTTATAAAAAACAAATTATCAATGTCAATAACTATAAAAGAGCAACTTGTGTAATGAAAAGTTATGATGATGTGTAATCCTGTGCATGTTTTAACTGAGTTCAAGAAGATATTTCCTCAGGAGAAATACACTAACTGAATAGATGAAAAAAGAAACATTGGAGACTTTTTAAAGCTCCTGTGCAAATCTTTTTTTTTTTTCGACTTCTCATAATTCCCTAAGGCATTTCAGCATTTGGTTATATAATTTTATTACAAAAGCCTCTACATTCTGTAAATAAAAAGGCATTCCAGATTAAAAATAAAACACATATGATAGAACACACATGCTGCTGGAAGACAATATATTTCTCACACAATAGGAAGGGAAATGTTTCCAGCAAGCTGGGCATTTCCTCCAAGTAAGATACGTTATGTGGAAAGGCCCATAAATACCGCTACTTCATTCCTCATTGCAATTTACAATATTCCCTACTTCTTCATACTATCTGCCTTACCTTTTCTTAGAAGGTTGGTTTTTACAACCCTCTAACCCTGCCTGACATTATTTGAGTGCTAACAATTGCATAAAAACATATGCTCTAATAAATGTATTTAATTGTTAAGTACTATAAAACCAATTGTTTTTTCTGCAATTGCCAGGCAGAAGAGAGTTGGTTTGGGATAATACCAACAGCACTTAGACTTATATACTGCTTCACAGTGCTTTTACAGCCCTCTCTAAGCGGTTTACAGAGTCAGCATATTGCCCCCAACAATCTGGGTCCTCATTTTACTGACCTCGGAAGGATGGAAGGCTGAGCCAACCTTGAGCCTGGTGAGATTTGAACTGCCAAATTGCAGGCAGCCGGCAGGCAGCAGAAGTAGCCTGAAATAGTGCATTCTAACCACGGCACCACTGCGGCTCTTATGGTAATGGTTAAAGCATCAGGCTAAAAACTGGGAGACTGTGAAGCAAGAAGCCAACTTGATAAACTTGGTCACTCTCTCTCAGCCCTTATAAGAAAACAATAACAAATCATTTCTGAAAATCTTGCCAATATAGTCTAGATAGTTGCCTGAAGTCAGGACTGATCTGTAGGCACAGATAAACAAAATTCACACAGAAAGGAATTGGATAAATCTCTGCCTTCTTGACTTAAACATTCTTTGAAAAGAGATTGTCACTTCTGCCTTTCAAGACTTTAATCTGCTAGGTAAATTGACTCTATAGTATTCTAAATCAAACAATTAAAAACTCCTTGCAAGGGTTCTCATGCCACTATGTTGCTTATTGAGTAATTATAGTTAATATTGAGTAAAATATAAGAAATTGCCACTTTGAAAGTAAATTATTATATGCTGTTTCTATCTAAATTTGCATGTCATTCCAGAAGTGTTGAAAGTGAAACCAACACTTGAAGAAAAGAATCCAAGAGAAAAGAATTTTTGTGGATACAGTAGTGGTCAAAATTGCAGAAACCTTTTGGGGAAAGTGTATTTTCTAAAACTAGCTAATAACACCATTTTTTTTTTGAGTAGTACCATAAAATTATATATCAATGGAAAGATAATTTAATCAAGAATGTAATGCAATAACTTTTATGAAGAATTTGATATTAGAATAGCAGTTACAGTACAAAGAAGAAAAGTGAAATACGTAGAAAAAAATGAGCTATGCAAAAATTATCACCATAGAAAAAACAAGATATACAAAAATTATCACGTCAGTTAATACTTAGTTGGGTAACCTTTAGCATGAATTATGGCCTTACTTCTTCCCATGGAGTGAACCAAGTCTTTTAGTTCAGCAGCTGTTATAATGTGAAACCAAGATTGAATGATTGCTTCCATTAACTGGGTTTTATTGCTGGGTCGCTTCTGACTAACAAGTTTCTTTAGTCGACTCCATAGATTTTCAATTGGGTTGAGGTCTGGGATATTCCCAGGCCATTCCAGCAGTGGAATATGATTATCTTGAAACTCCAAAAAATATCCATCAATCCTCAAAAATACACTTTTCCCAAAAGGTTTCCATAATTTTGGTTACTACTGTATTTATGCTTCCATCTAGAATTATGTAATTCTGGGGTTAACGTTTATTGAAAATCAATATGAAGATTCCACAGAGAAAAATAAAAATTCATCAGGATCAAGCAGATATACATTGTTGGCCTGATGATACAACCACAAATAAATATTCTGGATAACATAAATGTAATTTTTCCTTTTGGTCAATTAATACTTTTTTTCACCTGACTTAAACTCAGTGAAGTCAATTCATTAGGCGTTTTAATAGTATAAAGTGTTTTCTATATTGTCACAACATAAATTCTTTAGCTACCACCAAGGGAGTTAATTAATCTCAATAATACTGTAATAAAAAAGTTTTACCTTAGAATTTGCCATATAGCTATACATTTTCAGTAGAAAATTCTATATCCTCGGTAGAAAGAAACAATGTTTTGCATAGTTGGACTTTACACTGAGAAGAGGTTTGGGTGTGGGCAAAATATAAAGTAAACTGTTCACAAGCCATGTGATACTTTAGACGAGATGGGCGGCACACAAATCTAAATAAATAAATAAATCTTCTGTTAATTGGATACAGTGGCTAAGGCATCAGCCTAGACACCAGGAGACTCTGAATTTTAGTTCCGCCTTAAACACTAAGCCAGCTGACCCTTTACCAGTCACGCACACGCACACACACACACACACACACACATATCTAGGAAGGAAGTAATGGCAAACAACTTCTGAAAACTGCAAGAACTAGTCCAGGCAGTTGTCAAGAGTCAACACCGGCTCAAAGATACCATAATTTTTTTTGGCGATAATCATTTCTTTAATAAATCATTTTATCTGATTCAACTGTCTATGAAAACTTAATAACAGAATAACAGAGTTGGAAGGGACATCGGAGGTCTTCTTGTCCAACCCCCTGCTCAAGCAGGAAACTATGCCATTTCAGACAAATGGTTGTCCAATCTCTTCTTTAAAACCTCCAGTTTGGAGCACCCACAACTTCTGAGGCAAGTCATTCCACTGATTAATTGTTTTCACTTTCAAGAAATTTCTCCTTAGTTCTATGTTGATTAGTTGATTAGTTCCATCCATTGCTTCTTGTCCTACCTTCAGGTGCTTTGGAGAATAGGTTTTCTTCTTCATGGCAGCCTCTTAGATATTGGAACACTGTTATCATATCACCCCTAGTCCTTCTTTTCATTAAACTAGACATACCTAATTCCTGCAACCATTCGTATGCTTTATCCTCCCTTATCCTCTAATCATCTTTGTTGCTGTTCTCTGAACTCTTTCTGTGTCTCAACACCTTTTTTATATTGTGAAAATTGAATTAAGCCTTTTTCTTATTTTTTCCTGCAAACTAGATTTCTTTTAATGGCAAGTGGTATTCTAGTTGAACCATTCAAGATTGTGACTATCCTATAAACTGACAACGCTCAATTCCACAGGCACTACCCACATGTAGTTGGTTTATGAAATTACCTGATACTAAAATTAATCTGATCTGTGACACTGGAAACATGAGGCTAATCATGTATCTAAATCCTCCAAATTGCTGCTGATGGTGCAATAATTTTACCTCGAGCTCTATTTTTGTTTGGATTGTACTTCGATGATGGAACAGCCTTTATTCTTCTCATGGTCCCTAATTCCCTAAAATGTGCCCTCTCTGCTCCATGAAGGAACTCAGCTGTGCTTTGGCTGCAATTTTTAGAACACTAATTAGATCCCCAAGGCTTGCAAGTGTCCAGCAAAATCTCCACTTAGAAGCTAAACCAAACATTAGTCCCTCGCAACTAACTCTACATATGTCTAGACTAGTGCCCTGAGAAGGAAGTGACACGAAGAAAAAAATGGGCAGAAAGTGAGAGCTAATCAATCTTTCCTGTAAAACTCTTTTCTTCATTAAATTATGTGTTTCATTCAGGATCCCATCTGACTCAAAAAATCCAAAGAGATGTTTTGAATTGAAGCCTGGAATACAGGAAGCAATAAAGATATTTAGATGGGATTGTTCCTGAGATTCCTGCCCTTATCTGATAATGAAGGAAGGTTCATTCATTGGTATAGTGAAGAATTGCAAATGATAAAATCTTTGGACTATCACTGGAAGGATTTAATCAGACAAGGTTCTGAACTCAGGTCTACTAACAACTTTCTGTCCTTCTTCCATCTGTGAAATGCCAGGCAGCAGCACTATTCAGAATTATCAGGAAAGGATGAAACTAAATATTGTAATTTCTTTATGATCAGCACACTTGCTTGGGCACCAGGTCTAACCCTGTGCAACACAGTAGTCATTTCATGGATAAAATCATACCTAAAACTCCAGACTGAAAGCCAGATAGTCAAAATCCAATAGATTGGGAGGGGTGGCACCTTGCAATGTTTTATAAAAGTGTCTGCAAGTCTATGCATACCAAAAAAGATCCTTTGTGATCCACCTGGCCACCTGAAAGGTTCAACTGTGCCCCACCTGTCTGGTTAAGATCCCAGGGAGAGAGCAGGTAGAGCAGGTAATGCTGATCAGGTAGTGATCAGTAACTTCTTGCAGAAGCAGGAGTTAGCAGCTACCTTGAAAGACACGCTGGCTTGCCTCCTCCTTTGAAGTCAATCCAGGAATCTCAACTATTATCATATATTGCACTTCCTTTATGTAAGTATGTGATGGGCAAGGTGATGAGACAACAATTAAATAGGTCTAAGGAAGAAGCAGATTATCTAGAGTAGAGAAGCAGACTATCTAGAGTCATCTCTAGACAAAATGGGCATCACATGAATCAATTAAACAAACAGATAAATAAAATGTAATCTTTGATCATCAGGGTTTAAACACCAGTTTGGGACAGAAGCCATATTGTGCTATCCTATAGTGGGGTTTGGATGTGGAGAGTACAAACATTCTTATCTTACTGGACCTCCCAGTCCAGTAAGCATAGCATCACGAGTTAGGATTTGTTCTGACTGTCCTTTAGCAGGCAATTCCCAATGGAGGTTGTTAGACTTTCCATTATGGGAGATGAGCAGGGGTGAAATGTTCCCGGTTCAGACCGGATCGCCCAAGGCGGGTGGTTCGGAGAACCGGTAGCAAAAATCCCTGGCCATCCCCCAGGGCCGGATTTAGATGAAAAGAGGCCCTAGGCTATTCCACTTATGAGGCCCTTTCACCTATAGTGAAAGTGTAATTTTAATTTTGCTAACAATTTGAATTTAGGGAATGTAGGCCCCTCTTGATCTTGAGGCCCTAGGCTGAAGCCTAGTTAGCCTATAGGAAAATCCGGCCCTGCCATCCCCCCCATGCCCAGCTGAACCACGCAATCATCAGAGGCTTTTTTTTTTTAATTTTAAAAGCATTTTTTCTTCCGCCGAAAAAATGCTTTTAAAAGTAAAAGCATTTTACTCTGATGATCGCGCGGCTCAGCTGGGATCATCAAAGGTTTTTAAAAACATTTTTTCTTCAGAGATTGTAGAAAAAATGCTTTTAAAAGCCTCTGACAATCCAAGCTGAGTTGTCTGATCGGCAGAGGCTTTTTTCCTTTTAAATGCCTCCGACGATCCAAGCTGAGTTGGAAACCCTATACCCATGATGGCGAACCTATGGCACGCGTGCCACAGGTGGCACGCGGAGCCATATTGGTGGGCACGTGAGCTCAGCTCTGGGCACACATGTACGCACCAGCCAGCTGATTTTCGGGCCTTCCAGGCCCACTGGAAGTCGGCAAGCAGGCCATTTCCGGCCTCTGGAGAGCCTCCAGGGAGGTGGAGAAGGTCATTTTCACCCTCCCCAGGCTCCTAGAAAGGCTCTGGAGCCTGGAGAGGGCGAAAAACGGGCCTACCAGGCCCACCATGCCATCATGTGCCAAAAGCGGGTGGAGTGCAGGGGGGGTCACGCACACATGCACAGCGTGCATTGAATTATGGGTGTGGACACACACGTGTGCGACCTCGCTGCACTCCCCCCGCTTTTGGCACGTGATGGCAAAAAGGTTAGCCATCACTGTCCTATATACTATATACTGTCCTAATCTCTTCTTGAAAACTTCCAATGCAAAGCACCCACAACTTCTGGAAGCAAATCGTCTCACTGATCGATTGTTCTACCTAATCAGGAAGATAGACCCATATCACCCATTTTAAGGATTTAGTTTGGTGTTCTCTTCCTTCCTGGCAAGGTGACTTTTAGTGGAAAGGAAACAGTCAATTTCCTTAATTTGTCCAGGATTTAAAAATGCAAGAATAACAAGTCTCCTATTCCATTCTTCAGAGAAACTAGGGTTTGGCCAATAGGGCAAAATAATTTATTTGTTAGTTCAAGGATGGATTGCACTGTAATGTAGCCATCTCACTATGCAGTGACGAAGTAATGATGCCTTTGCTAACTATAGTGTTATTTAAAGTTGGGGTGGGTAGATTGCCAATAATAATAATAATAATAATAATAATAATAATAATAATAATAATAATAATAATAATAATTTTATTTCTATACCGCCCTTCTCCCGAAGGACTCAGGGCGGTGTACAGCCAGTTTAAAAACACAAGACACAACAATAATTAAAAATTAAAATAATTAAATAAATTTGGCTGATTTAAAACTCTAAAAATTAAAATACCCCAATTTAAAATTATTATATTGACAGCCCTGCCTGGCGGAACAACAAGGTCTTCAATGCACAGCGGAACACCCGGAGGTCGGAGATCTTGCGTATTTCCGGGGGCAGTTCATTCCACAAGGCTGGGGCTCCCACAGAGAAGGCCCTCCCCCTGGGTGTCGCCAGCCGACATAACTTGGCTGATGGCACCCTGAGGAGACCCTCTCTGTGGGAACGGACTGGTCGGTGGGAGGCTATTGGTGGCAGAAGACGGTCTCGAAGGTACCCGGGTCCTATGCCATGGAGCGCTTTAAAGGTGGTAACCAACACCTTGAATCGCACCCGGAAGACCACTTGGAGCCAGTGCAGCTCGCGCAGGAGGGGTGTCACGCGGGCACAGCGAGTTGCGCCCATAACCACCCGCGCGGCCGCATTCTGGATAGATCTTTGAAAAATATTACTACAAATCTATTAAACAATTAATGTTTCAGTATTATAAAACTCAAAAAGAATCATATAAACTTAGCTACACACAATATTACATACTTAAGTATACCCTGAAAATTTGATTATCTGCTTTGCAAGGATACATATTGGCAATTGCATTTTGCAATTTAACTTTCCCTACAAATTTTATTATGACAGTTTGTAATTTTCATACTGATACTGCCATCTACAGACAAAATGTGTTCTCAAGGACATGTTATTTCAATATCTTGGTATAATGTTTGCATAGCTAAAACATTGTTTTTATTCATTTATGCAAATTATTTATAAATTACCATGAACCCAAGAAGCATACATATTTCAAATTTTCTCTCAGTGAGTTTATCCTCACCATAAACTGTGAGAGACCCTTGAAAACATCACTGAACTGCGTCTCTCAGTATCCTCTATCATTGCCAGTTAAGGATCTTCTGGGAATTGAAATTCCTTAATAGTTACAGAGATTAGACACTTTCCCATTTTCTCTATTCTAAGCAATAAAGATTAATAACAGTAAAGAAATTGGAACTTGTTGAAGTGTTGAAGCCCACAACACTTGCATTCCTTATTGATTATGGTGATTTAAATGGGATCTTATGACAACTGATTTATAAAACATCTGGACGGTACCCAAAATATCCAGCTGGATGGAAATAACCAGGGCAAAGGAGTTCCTTCTATGAAATTCTCCACAAACTCCCTTTTTTTAGGGCTATCAGATATGGAAATGAACCATCTCCATCTAGATGGGAAATTGGAGCACCATCCAGATGTTTTGGAATTCAGTTAGTTTAATTCTTTGCCTTCAAGAGGAATATGTAGCTTTTGCACCTCAGATTTAGTAGTTCCAATTTTAGCTACCAGCTCCCTGTCAAATGCTAGGTTGTCTCATTATCTCTCTCTCTCTCTCTCTCTCTCTCATATAATTATAATAAAATTATATATATAATAAATAATAAATCATGCTGGACATCACTTTACTAGCAATAGCGAAGGCATCGTTTCATATGGCACAGAAGGTAATGGAACAAACCACTTCTATTTTACCAGGCCAACCACACAGATGTAAACTGTAAAGTGATTTAGTACTTTTGCATAGTACCTTATGGGGAACATATATTTATTTAGCCAGAAGACCAGCTGATTACAATTAAAATTTTTATTCAACAATAATATTATAGAATAGACAATGTAGGAAATTTATTATTTTTGACAAATACATATTTTAGAAAGAAACTTGTCCTATGATTGCTAAAAGCGCTTCTCTATTATCTCTTCTACACACTGGATCAACTTCTCAGCCTTCCCCTTCTCTCCCCAGCTGGTCTGGGAGGCGCGTCCTCGGGATTCCGGATTTCTATCCAAGTTCTGCCCACTTCGCTTTTAAGGAAGTATCGAGTTAACGCTTTCTTTGCATTTGCAGCAATCTTCCGTTATCTTGCATTGTTCCGCGCAATGTGTGAATCTGGACCGTTGAAGAATCGCGCTCTTTAAAAACTCTAGGTTTCTTCGTGCCCCCAAATATTCTAACCAAGGAAGGGGAAAGGAGAGCGCAGGAGATAAAATTATACTCAGTGGTGCGTTAAAAGAAAGCCAAGTGAAGTCTCCAAATTTGTCACTCTACACTTTTTCCTATCTCTAGATTCTTTGCTCTCTCGCGCTCCCTATGTCTCTCTTTCTCTCTCTCTCTCTCTCTGCCCGTCTTTTCAGGCTGGCGGCGAGCGAGGGTGGCTGCGAAGATGTTGTCGGTGCTACCCAAAGTGGAGAAGCTGTCGGCGCGGGTGATCCGCGTCCTGGGCTGTAACCCCGGGCCTATGACGCTCCAGGGGACCAACACCTACTTGGTGGGAACCGGGCCCAGGTAAGTGGGAAGCAGCTCGGGCGAGGGACAGACGCGGCGGCCGGGTCGGATCCGTTGGCTCGGGGCTCCGGTGGGTAACGCGCTTCCTTTGCGTGAATGTTCCGTTCCGTTTAGCAAAGCGAGACTCGAGAGCTGCCCGGGAATTCCTATTTCGACCTCCTGCTTTTCACTGGCTGCTCTAAGTATTAATTCATACGATTCCTCTTTATTGTACAGGTATAAATCCATAAACATTTGGGGGCGGAGGAGACATTGCTAGCCGTATTATTCTATGCATGTAATTAAAGTTTGAACCAGATGGAGGGCGCACAAATCTAGTAAATAAAAAAATGGTGTAAAGGCCATTAATGCAACCTAGGAGTGTTGCAAGGCGATCTTCTCTATTCAAGAATCGTCCTATTTAACTCCAGGGTCTTACTTGCCTAGAAGTGCAGGCTTGGGACTCTTCCATTGCTGTATTTGAAGTGCTGTTCTCCAGTCTTTAAGCTCACTTAAATTTGTAAACATCTACTTGGCTTCATTGACAAGCCTGTAAGTGGTGCTTGTTTGTGGGACAAGTTAAGGAAAAACACTATTTTTCCCATTCCATAGAGTAAAGTGCCTCAAACCTGACAACTTTTAAGATTTGTGGGCTGCAGTTGTTGGGGTCATCTTTGTTATAAACATGTTTGTATTCTTTTTATCACTTTTAATTTGTTTTGCTGTTTCCTTTCCCTTTTAAGTTACTTGGTGTTTTAATGTTTGACTTTGAAGTTTAATAACTATTATTTTTTTTAAAAAGAAGCACTGCCTTAGGGGAAACAACACCAATGAGTCTCCTTAATGCTTAGTGGGGACTGGCTGGACAAGTACAGGCAGATTCTTTTAGTCAAGTTGCTCAACTAAGCAATCACATGCACCGAAGAGGTGCACATCTATGAGGAGTCGGTTGGGCTGTTTCTGAATATAAACCTCAGACTCTTTTGAAAGGGTGCTAATCCCGTGTCATAAAATACCATGGTTCACAGATTGCAGATGTAGAGGACAGACCATGTTTAGAAATACCCAAAGTGACCATTCAGAGATAGGGAGAAGAGGCTATGAAGTGCATAGGAGCACAGCACTTCACTCCACTCCACTCCTCCTCCAGGGCCTATTTCACATTCATTGGAGGAGTGGAATAAAATGAGAAGGAATAATTAATAACATGCAAGCTCCATCCTAAATTACAGGTAAGTTAATGGTTGACTTACAACCATTTTTAGTGTCCCTTTTAAGTCAGCACTGAAAAAGGTGACTTGTCAGAGTGCGCACAACTTTACTATGTGAGACAACCCAGGAGCAATAACAGCAAACAGAGGTTTGTAATAAACAGTGGTTTTATCTACAAGAGAATATATAGTATACATACATGTACTATAGGCAGAGGTCAAACAATCAGCAATTAGCAGGGAAGAACATGAGGGAGGGAGGGAGTGACAGAGACGGACACCATAACGGGGCCTCCTCTTATTATACAGGCTCTTAAAGGGGTAACAACCAAAAACCTTGCTGACTCATTCCCATCATTACATCATTGCAGCAGCTGGTCAGCTTTTAAATCACTACCCTGACAGACTTGTGACTGTTTTTCACGCTTATAACCATTGCTGCATCCCTGTGGCCATGTGATCAAAATTTGGATACTGTTGTGGCCCGCCAGCTGCCAGCAGAACTGGCAGCAGACTCAGACAATGAGGAGGTTGGGGAAGAACTTGGGCCAGTTCTGGAGCCTGGCGAAGGCTCTGATGGATGTTCAGTGTCGGACACAGAGATAGAGCCAGGGCCGCCCAGCATTTCCCAGCCAGAGAGACAGCTGCCTTTGGAGTCAGAGATGAGTGAGGAGGAGGAACAGCTGGGGCCTGTTCCAGATGCACATATGCGCAGAGCAGATAGGAAAGGTGAACAACGGAGGACAATGAGCTGGCTTAGGAAGCAAAACAAACATGGACGCTGACTGGCCCCTCCCTGGCTGAGGGAGGAAAGGGAAGAGGTTTGGTTGTCACAGGCAGCCGTTTGCATTTCTGGAAAGTTTGCTCCTTGTGTGTTTCGTGCGACAAAGACTCCCTTGCCAGAACCGAGGTTGTCTATTTCTCTGTTTGAACTGACTTAATTTGCAGCCTCCCGGCTGGGAGCTCACAACCTTGCATTTATCATAACAAGCTGATAAGGACTATTGCTTCATGTAACTTCTTGCAGGACTCTTGCCTGGACTTTCTGTTGGTGAATGCAGTTAATTCCCAATGTGTAAATAAAAGTTTCTTGCTTCTGCGAAGGCCGGGTCAGAACAGATGCTTGGCAACTGATTCATATTCATGATGATTGCAGTGCCCCAGGGTCACGTGATACCTTTTGCGATCTTCTGACAGGCAAAGTCAATGAGGAAGCCAGATTCATTTAACAACTATGTTACTAACTTACCAACTGCCAACCTTTCTTGGCCTAATCTGTTTTTATTATAGAAGGATCCTAATAGATACCGGAGAGCCATCCATCCCTGAATATATAAGCTGTTTGAAACAAACACTCCATGAATTCAACGTATCCATCCAGGAAATTGTAGTAACTCATTGGCACCATGATCACACAGGAGGCATATCCGATATTTGTGAAAAGATTCCAGCCAGTAAGTATTTTCTGTAATTTTTAAAATTTGTATACTGAATAGAATAGAATAGAATAGAATAGAATAGAATAGAATAGAATAGAACTCAATTCAATCCAATCCAATCCAATCCAATCCTTTATTGGCCAAGTGTGATTGGACACACAAGGAATTTGTCTTTGGTGCATATGCTCCCAAGGTACATAAGACAAGATACACTCGTCAAGAATCACAAGGCACAACACCCAGTGACAGTTATACGGTACAATAAGCAATCAAATCATACTAGGAAACAGTCAATATCAATATAAATCGCAAGGATACAAGCAACAAAATTACAATCATGCAGTCACAAGTGGGAGGAGATGGGCAACAGGAATGATGAGAAGACCAATAGCAATAGTAATGCAGCCTAATATGAATAGTTTGATAGTGTTGAGGGAATTATTTGTTTAGCGGAGTGATGGCGTTCAGGAAAAAACTGTTCTTGTATCTAGTTGTCTTGGTGTGCAGTGCTCTATAGTGTCGTCTTGTATACAAAGCAGGTTAGAGTTATATAGAAAAGGTTATATAGTAGACAGGCAAAGAAGGAAGAATGTCAGAAACTTTGGACTTAAATGTTTATTATAGGGGGGAATAATTAACCAGTTGTAAATTTGCTTAGCCAAAATTAAAGCTAACAAAAATCAGGTAGAGGTAATCCTCGACTTAGAACCATTTGTTTAATAACTGCTCAAAGTTAAAACAGTGCTGAAAAGGTGACTTGCAACCGGTCCTTGTACTATCACAGCATCACCATGATCAATATTAAGGTGCTTGGCAACTGGCATGCATTTATGATGGTTGCAGCATCCCGCAATCATGTGTTTGCCACTTTTGACTTCTCCGGATGACTTCTGACAAAAGTCAAAGAGGGAAGCTGGATTTGCTTAACAACTGCGTGATTCAATTAACAACTATAGTGATTTGCTTAACAACCGTAGCAAAAAAAGACATATAAACAGGTGCAACTCACTTAACAACCATCTTGCTTACAACATAAATTGTGGTCTCAATTTTGGTCATAAATTGAGACTACCTGTATTATAAAAATATAACATTTGCCATTCTGTTAAACTAAGGAATTTATCTTAAATAAGCCTGGCTTGCAAAATCAATTCTTTATATTTACTCATAAAAATATAAGATGCCATCTTCTTTCTCTTGCTGATTTGGGAAGAGGATGATAATTATATTAGCTTATATCTCATTACCCATTTGCATCAGTTTTGTGGATTTAAGTACACAAAAATTAGTTAAAATAAATATTAGTTAAAACTTTCATTGGTTTTTTTTTTAATATAGAAAGTCAAACATTTTTTTTAAAATAGAAGGGCTTTTATCTCAAAGTATGTGTATGATCTATTTTTCTTTAAAAGTAAGCACCAACCTAAATTACATTATTACTAGGATGAGCTGAATGATCTCCCAAACACCAAAACAAGTGTTCTTCCCAATTGTATTGACGTTGTTCAAGTTAAGCTACTCCAAAATCCTGCAGAAATGGGTCTTTTCAAATCTCTTCATGAGAGCAGGAAATGGAGCTTTTTTGCAAAATAAAGAACACTGATTGTTTTAATATTTGCGTGCATGTTTGCTAATATGTATTTTGACAGTTGTTTCATTAGAATTTAAGGTTAAGTTTATAGAAGTTGCTATTGCAAAACAAATAAACCGTTAACATACAAAGGGACTTGCTAGACTGTAGTGAGGCTGTTGTCACAATTATTTGAATAATAATCAGCATGCATAGCATAGAACATGTTCTGCCTTGATTAATCTGCACTTGTATAATAACATAAATTCATTTTATTAGAAAAAAATCATTAAAAATAAAACACTGATATCATGAAGCAACCTTTTAAATGCATTACCAGTTTCCAAAATTTGAAATCATTTGGAGCTATTTTAAGCTGTTTAAGTCTGTTTAAGAGCAGTCATAAGTCCCACATGTCTCAGTCCTGATTCCATTTACAAATACTATCTTTTTAAGAAAGGGGTGTATGAATTTCCAACTAAATTCTGGTATGATACAGATTGTTTAATTTTTAAATTAGGTTATGAATATTGCATAAGAAAGCTTCCACGTAACCCACATCAAGAAGAAATAATAAAAGGAAAGCAGAAGTATGTGTATTTAAGAGATGGAGATGTTTTAAATACAGAGGGAGCTACTCTCAGGTAAATGTTAACATTTCATATTGATGCTTGCAAGTTTTTCATGTACAAAGGAAGTTTTTCATGTTTTTGTTCAGTTCATTTGCAGATTTTTATCATTTCAGAACTAAAAAGGCTTGTGAGATTTTTTAAAATAGATTATATGTTTTGGCTAGCCTTTAATGAATAGGGGTGCGATGGCTTAGCAGTTAAAAAGGCTGAGCGTGTTATCTGGAAAACTGACAGCGGAAAGCTCAGAGGCCAGGTTTGAGACCTGAGCACCATACGAATGGGTGAGCTCCTTTATCTGCCCCAGCTTCTGCCCATCCAGCAATTTGAAAACATGCAATGCAAGTAGATAAATAGATACCACTTCAGTGGGAAGGTAGCAGCATTCTGTGAGCCTTGGCATATACTCATACTGGCCACATGACCACAGAAGTGTCTTCAGACAATGGTGGCTCCCTTTTAGGAAATGGAGATGAGCACTGTCCCATAGAGGTGGGAAATGATTGTACAGGGGAAACCTTTACCTTTAATGCATACAATACACATATTTATCTCTGTAATATGTGACTATTCTTCCAAGAGTTACTGGTTTCTGATAATATTTTCTGCACAATGTTCAAAACAAATTTCTTCAAAACCCTAAGTAAGTTGGGTTTTATTGGTGCTCAGGCTCCAATATCTTTAAGTGATGCTTTTTTCTCAGTACAATTAGTCCGTTACGTAGGACCACAAATGAGTCACTGCAGTTGTTAAGTTAGTAACAGGACTGTTAAGTGAATCTGGCTTCCCCATTGACTTTACTTGTCAGAAGATAACAAAAACTGGTCACATGACCCAAGGACAACGCAACTGTTATAAATATGAGTCCGCTGCCAAGCGTCTGAATTTTGGTCACATGACCACGGGGGAGGCTGCAATGTTTGGAAGTGTGAAAAATGGTCATAAGTCACTTTTTTCAGGGCTGTTGTAACTTCGAACAATCACTAAATGAACTGCTGTAAGTCAAGGACCACTTGTATACATGATAGGGCTACACAGGTTTCTGTGCTTTTGGTGGATGGCAATTTGCATAAAATTATTCATGATTTTTTTGGAATGACTTTATCTGCCCTTGTGAGGCCTTTGGTTTCTTTAGGAAATTTATCTTAAGCTATAGCCGTGATGGCGAACGTATGGCACGGGTGCCACAGGTGGCACGTGGAGCCATATTGGTGGGCACACAAGCTCAGCTCTGGCACGCATGCGTGCACCAGCCAATTGATTTTCAGACCTTCTGGGCCCATCAGAAGTCAGGAAACACACTGTTTCCGGCCTCTGAGGGGGTGGGAAGGCCATTTTTGCCCTCCCCAGGCTCCTAGAAAGGCTCTGGAGCCTGGAGAGAGTGAAAAATGGGCCTACCAGACCCACCATGTCATCACGTGCCAAAAGCAGGGGGAGCATGGGGAGGTGCATAAAATTATGGATGTGGGCACACGTGTGTGACCTCCTCCACACTCCCCCCGCTTTTGGAACACGATAGCAACAAGGTTAGCCATCACTGAGCTATAGGTAAAGCTTGTCCTTACTTTAAAAATACTTCTACAGCATGAGAAAAATGTGCTCATAGTTCTGCTTCCATACAGTATAAAGATCATTCATTTAAATTTTGGATCTGAGCTTTTTAAATGTATCTTCGTTTGCTACTGTAAGAACTTTCTTCAATTTATGACTTGAATATTACAATCACATTTCTCTTTTCTGTCACTTTGCAGTGTATTATATACCCCAGGGCATACGGATGACCATATGGCTTTACATTTGCTAGAAGAAAATGCAATATTTTCTGGTGATTGTATTTTAGGAGAAGGAACAACTGTGTTTGAAGACCTTTATGACTACATGAAGTCATTGGAAAAACTTCTGGGAATGAAAGCTGATTTAATATACCCAGGTAAGTTATACATTTGATATTAATTGTATTAGTTCTTTGCCACAGGTATAATTATTTTAAGTGTCTCAAACGCTGCATTGCTGCCTAGAGATTTTTTATCTCAATGTTCTGTAATCACGGATACTGTAGAAATAGGAATGGGTCTCTTATTGACTCCTGTTTGCAAGATATTTTGTATTTTTTCTCTCTATATAAGAGGCTTGTAAAGAGACTACATCTGGAGCTTCATAGAAAGTGGTCACTGTGGGAGGAGAGTTCAGATGTTTTTTATTTTAATAAAACACTATTTAAGTTTCCTTGTGCTTTAGACTGTAATATAATTTGCTGTTTCCTTCCTAGTAAATGAAATGTATCCTCTATTTACTTGACTTGTGAAAAGTCCTTTGGCTGCTAAAATGTCTGTTCTTAACACTCGTTCTCTCTGTCTTTCCCCCTACCTCCCCAATTCCCCATAAGGAAAACAGTATTCAGAATTCAGTACCTCCAAACTAATCTATGAAAGAAATTATGGAAATGGAATGTCACAATAATTAAGCCGGAAGACTTGACAGCTTCAACCTGCTTTAAAATGATGTTTAGGGATGTAACGAATTGAACTCATTTTACAATACATCCATTTACTGTATTTATTTATCCTGTATTTTTCTCTGGGAATGCAAGATGGTCCAGAAGGAGTAGAAGTTCTCCATTCTATCCCCATACCTATTATTATGAAATGTAGATGGAACCAAAGCCGTAGGATAACTGAATTAGCTTCATATTCATCAAAGACTTGAACTTGTACTTTTTTCATCCCATCCAGCATTTTTATCACAACTCTTGTTTCTTTGTTTACATAATATATAGGCCACCGGATTCCCAACAACTCTGTGTGGCTTACAATTAAAAGCGTTTTTGAAAAAGATAGAAGTCTCTTGAGTAGCCCAAAGATTACATAGAATCAGGAGGGGGGGAGATCCCATGTAACAGGTCTCATCCTTCACCTTCCTTCAAAGCCTGGAACTATGCTATGACTATAATATCAAGGCATAAATTGAAGAAAGCATTTAATAGCTTCCTGAATGTCGGGAGGACGGGACATCTGGATCTCTAGGGGTCCCACGTAGTGGTGGGTTCCAACAGGTGTTACCACCGGTTCTCTTCACACACGTGCTTTGCGTGCAATCGCTGAACTTGCGCTACGTGCAAGCGCATTAGATTTCTGCTCACCTATCTAAGGCACAGCAATCTACTCTGCCGCACTATCAGCTAAAAAACGACAAATAAAGTTAGGTATAATGCGGGGGTGGGCGGGAGGGCCCAGCTCACAGTCATAGAGAACCGGTTTGCTGATGTCACATCATCACTACCAGCTCACCCGAACCGGGAGCAACCCACTACTAGTCCCACACCAGAGGGAATGTGCTGCAACAAATAAAGTGACACATTACAAAATTAGAAGCTGTTGGGCTGTCCTGTGTTAACTCTGCAATATGAACAAATTGTCTCTTCTTAAAAAGTATCCTGTACGCACTATTAATTAGTAAGTTCTCCCATAATTTTTTCTTAAAGAAACATCTGTTGTTGTCTTTATAGGACATGGACCAGTAATAAAAGAAGCAAGAGCTAAAATTCAAGAATATATTTTACATAGAAATGCACGTGAGCAGCAAATCCTACACATCCTGGATGAGAATGCTGGGAAATCTCTCACAGTAGAGGAACTTGTGAAAATTGTTTACAAGGTACAGATGGCATCTGGTTTGGGTTAGAAATAGATTTCAGTTATGCAGAAAGCAATGCAATATAAAAGAAATTAATGATTCATAGCAAGAACAGCATTTATCTAAAGAACACCATGTATGTGTACTTGCTTTCAGAAACCATAATATATATTGCACCAGGTTGTACGCTGGAAAGTACATAGTAGTAATATAAAAATATTAAGATTATCATGCTTTTTTCAGACTTTAAACAGCTCTTCCAAAATCAGACACATTTTTTTGTAAAATTCGCTAATGAGTTTTTTCCAAAAACACCAGTTTCCTTTCTTTTTTTAATAACGTCAACTAAAGTAGAATAACAAAAACACTATGTCCTGAATGTTTCAAATTGCTTCCAGCTTGAAGAAATTATCCCAGACACTATCAAATTAATCAATTTCACTGTGGTCTAGGAGGAAGTTTACCATGGCCAATGGGGAGGGGAACAGGGGAGGGCATGGAATGTTCCTAAGTTCTACGGAATGTTCTGTCCCTGAATCAGTGAGTTCCCTATATCCCTATTACCTTTTTTGCAAAGAATCACTCAAAATAAAGAGAAGCGCCTTCTCTGTAGCAACACTTGCCCTCTGGAATGAGATTCCCCTGACGATATATGAATGCTTCCTTCCCATTTTACTGGTGTTCCAAAGAGCCTTGAAGACCTGGCTCATTGCCCAGGACTTTGGAATTGTGATGAAGCCCCCTTTTCTTTTCTTTTCTCTTTGTTTCTATCTAGGTATATTATCTCTATCAACTTTGTTCCTTTTTGATTTGTGTTGTTTTCTTGGTTTAATTGTAAGATTGTATTAGGAGAATAATTATCACTCAGAAATCTGTGAAACAAATTTTATGAATTTTCCTCTGCACTCTGAAGTTGAGGATGAACGTCTAATAAAAATTCATGATGACCTGGAAAAAGTAAAGTTATTCAGAGAAAATGTATAAGATAAGGCTAAACAATTCCCCTTCTCTCCCCCTCCCCATTAAAATAGGAATTGATGGGATAATTTCTACCATTGCCTCAAAACCCTGAAAAGTGTTTTAATCCATACAAATTTGAGGAGTTCTTGTTGTTGTTTTACTTTTTAAAAAATGAAGTTCCATTAATATGCATTGTTTGAATGCTTTATTCCAGGACACACCTGTCCATTTGCATAAAGCTGCAGAAATTAATCTCCAACATCACTTGGGGAAGCTAAAAAAGGAAGGGAAAGTTGGTAAGTAACTTAATTGTTTATATATAACAGTTACATTGTTGGATTCTGAATGATGAAAGGAAGATAAAATTACAAGGCCTCACACTTATGATCATCACAGCTTCCCTGCAGTCACATGGTCAGGATTTGGGCTGTCCACAATCAATGTGCATTTACAAACCTCATAGTATCCCACGATCACATGATCATCATTTATTTTTGCTTGTTTATTTAATTTGCACACTTCATAGCCAACTACCAACAAGCAGAATCAACGGAAGAGCCAGCAAGTCACATTCACATGATGTCTCACTTAACAACTGTGTCAGTTAGCAATGGAATTTGTCAGTCCCAATTGTGGTTGTTAAGGTTGTTAACCTATACTCTTTATACGTTTTTATTTGGTGAAAAAAAATAACTTGTGTTAAAAATATTATAAAGGTGATTAAAAGAATGACTAAAAGTATCTGACAAAATGCTTCTCAGCATATCATCATCACAAAATATGAAGATTAATTACATGGATTTCATGATTTTAAAAGTATCTACCGTGTTTCCCGAAAATAAGACCCTGTCTTATATTTTTTTGAACCGCAAAATAAGTGCTTGGCCTTATTTTCGGGGAGGTCTTATTATTTTGGGGCATGTAGAACAAGATGGGGCTCCTCTTGCCGTCTTACCTGATTTCCAGCTCTGCCTTTAAATATTTTCGGGGTGGGCTTATTTTAGCGCATGCGTTCAAAGGCCCGATTGAGCTTATTATAAGGGGATGTCTTATTTTCGGGGAAACAGGGTATTTAAAATGTAGTTAATATATATATATGCATTTAGATGTTTTAAGATAAATATTTTAGATATTACCGCTTAGGGCATTAAAGAAGTTTTACTGATTAGGTTACTTATATGATCCTTCTTTCTGTTACAGTATATGAAAATTCTTCTAACCTAAAGTGGAAAAGTGTTTTATAAATATGGCATATGCTGTATGCCATAAGAAAACGTGCTGTTCTATTTTCTGAACTAAAAGCACTAACATTTTTATGTCAAAATTGCATATAAATCACATACAGAAATGGATCTGTATTTTGTTATTAATCTGATTAAGTAATAACTTGTCAGAGAGCGATTGGAAGAATAATTCAGGGTGGAACAAGTGGATTATTCACCGTATTTCAAAGCAAAATATTCGAAATTTCCTTTGGATACTTGAATACTTTTATAAAGAATTTGGTTCAAGGAATGTTATTATTAGTTAAATTTACAGTTGCAAGAAAAAGTATGTGAACCCCTTGGGATCACGTGGAGTTTTGCATGAATTGGTCATAAAATGTGCTCTGAACTTCATCTAAGTCACAACAATAGAAAAACACAGTCTGCTTAAAATAATACTACACAAACATTAGATGTTGCCATGGTTTAATTGAACATAACATGTAAACATTCACAGTGCAGAGAGGAAAAAGTATGTGAACCTTTGGACTTAATAACTGGTTGACCCTCCTTTGGCAGCAATAACCTCAACCAAACGTTTCCTGTAGTTGCAGATCAGACCTCCACAACGATCTGGAGTAATTTCGGACCACTCCACAAAACTGTTTCAGTGTAGCAATATTCTTGGGATGTCTGGTGTGAATCGCTCTCTTAAGGTCATGCCACAGCATTTCAATCGGGTTGAGGTCAGGACTCTGACTGGGCCACTCCAGAAGGCGTATTCTGTGCTGTTGAAGCCATTTTTTGTTGAATTACTTGTATGCTTTGGGTCATTGTCCTGTTGCATCACCCATCCTCTGCGGAGCTTCAGTTGGCGGACAGATGGTCATACGTTTTCCTGCAAAATGTCTTGATAAACTCTGGAATTCATTTTCCCATCAATGACAACAATCCGTCCAGGCCCTGAGGCAGCAAAGCAGCCCCAAACCATGATGCTCCCTCCACCATGTTTTACAGCGGGGATGAGGTTTTGATGTTGGTGTGCTGTGCCTTTTTTTCTCCAAACATAGTGTTGTGTGTTCTTCCCAAACAACTCAATTTTGGTTTCATCTGTCCACAGTATATTTTGCCAGTAGTGCTGTGGAACATCCAGGTGCTCTTTTGCAAACTTCAAACGTGCTGCAATATTTTTTTTGGACAGCAATGGCTTCCTCCGTGGCGTCCTCCCATGTACTCCATTCTTGTTTAATATTTTCCTTATTGTAGATGTTCAACAAAAATGTTAGCATGTGCCAGAGATTTCTGTAGGTCTTTAGCTGACACTCTACAATTCTTCTTTACCTCATGAAGCATTCTGCGCTGTGCTCTTGCAGTCATTTTTACAGGACGACCACGCCTAGGGAGAGTAGCAACAGTGCTAAACTTTCTCCATTTGTAGACAGTCTGTCTTACCGTGGACACATAAACATCAAGGCTTTTGGAGATACTTTTGTAACCCTTTCCAGCTTCATGCAAGTCAACAATTCTTGATCGTAGGTCTTCTGAGAGCTCTTTTCTGCGAGGCATGGTTCACATCAGACAGTGCTTCTTGAAACCAGTAAACCCAAAACAGGTGTGTGTTTTTAAAGGGCAGGACAGCTGTCAGCAACACATCGAATATCATCACACTGATTGGAGTCAAGGTTGGCTCACTCCTGGCTCCAATTAGCTTTTGGAGAAGTCATTAGGCTAGGGGCTCACATACTTTTTCCTCCCTGCACTGTGAATGTTTACATGTTGTCCAATTAAACCATGGCAACATCTAATGTTTGTGTAGTATTATTTTAAGCAGACTGTGTCTTTCTATTGTTGTGACTTAGATAAAGTTCAGAGCACATTTTATGACCAATTCATGCAAAACTCCACGTAATCCCAAGGGGTTCACATACTTTTTCTTGCAACTGTATATGCTACCTGATTCTCAGCAATATGAAGGTTTAAGCTTGTTTCTTTATTTAAACATTGTAATTTCATTGCCATTATGTTATTTGTATAATAAATATAATAACTAAATAAGTTTGTTCACATGTAGTTGTCTTCCTTTTTTATGTATTGTCATCTATATACTTTTTCAGGATTTTTTTTTAACTTGACTGGAAAAAGACTAAAATCCTATAGAATAGAATTTCTATAGATTAGTGAACACTAGCAATATGATATTCAATCTCATTTTAAATACAGTTGAATGAAAGTATGAAATGTTTAGATCTGAACTACGTTTGTCTGCAAATACCAAATTTGAATTATTATAGTAATCATAAAATTCTCTGCATCTTCAAAAAAGCATAAAAAGCATGAGGCAAAGATAAAACCATCCAATTCTAAAAATTATATAAAGGAAGAAAAAATGACATTAAAACCACAATACACAAAAATTAAAATTTATATTCCTAAAATATTGACATTTCTTCAGATCAGCCTCCCCTGAAGCATCTTTTTTCCCGTTTCAATTTTCCTGTATTCCTATCATTTTGGAAACTTCAAGATTTAATCAAAGGGTACGGTGAAGCAATGTTAAAGCCCTCACTTTTATATCTTCATGACAGTAAACTCTGCTCCCATTTTTTAAAGGATCAAACCTTTTGTTATATCTAGCAGAGCAAGGGGCTGGATTATCTTCCTATGTTCATATCACAGAAAACATCTTTCCCTTATGAATATGAATTGTCTGTCTGAGCCTGTTTGGCCTACAGTCTGATAAACTTTTGAATACCTGAGCTTGCAGCCTTTACATTCATAACAATGGCACTTTTTTAACCAATGTGGGAAAATGTGTCGCTGAAGTGTTGATCTATAATTTTAAGCACTCCTTAGTAATAAATGCTGAAAATTGTAGCTCAATAACATTTGGTGAATGCTTTAGGAAAAGCCTGTAAGGCATTAGAACAAGCTGTGTGGTCTTTATATAAGCTATGTAGAGTGGCAGATATAAATGCTTGGAATAATGAAGTTGCATACTACTGAACATTATGAAAAGTTGACATTGATTATACCAAGCATTTCATCTGAGCCCTAAAGGAGAGCTACATGCTTACACTGCTGACAGCAAATCAGCAATATCCATGTCAATTAGAAAAAAAATAAAATATATAGAATCTTGTGAAATAAAAAAAAATTAACTATGAAAAAATATAATACTAAAAGATCTAAGTTAAAAACACATTCTATTTTGAGTTTAGAATTAATAGGTATGTTTATAACATTCTGTTAAGGTACCAATGTTGCTACATGTTTTTTGATTCCCAAGAGCTACAGAAGTGGATTGAATGGCAATCCATGGTAATATGATCTCAATTTTTTAGAAAAATAGACCTAAGAGACCATTTTAAAACCAGTTTTGAAAAACTCTATTATAAATATATACAGTATATGTAGCCACTAAGGCATGGATATCAAACTCGATTGCGTCACGTGACATCACATAAAGTATTGTGATGTTTTTTGCCTTTGCGGAGCTGGGATGGGTGTGGCCTGCGCGTGACACATGCCGCCAGGTTGATATCCCTGCGACTAAGGCATTCTTTGTCTTGGGAGAATGCTAACTGGAAGAAAATGAAGAGAAATTAGGCATTATGGACATTTTCAAAGAACAGATTTCCCACATTTCTTTAATTGACTATCAGGCATTGCTATAAGATGAGTCTCCCTGTGCTAGATTATCCTGACCTGCTATTGGAGTGCAACTTCCAAAATAGATTATTGCTTATAATCTGAAAGAAAGAACAAGCAAGGAAGAGATACAGAGAAAAGGTGAGTGGAAAACGTCAAAGTTTGTCCTCTAAAATCACCTCCCCTAATCAGAGAGTTCTCCAAATATGTACACATTAGTTCCACGCTAGTAGTTACTATGGAAAATTCTGAGGATCAAAGTCCATATTTCGAGAGCAATGAAAGTTACTATAAAGCTCCTTTCAAGTTGGGCCTCTGCTGGAAAACTGAATAAGCCCAAACTGTTTTGCTTCACAAGTTCTAAGTTTAAACTTTTGCACAGTAAGGATGCTAGACTAGTCTACTCATGTGTTTTCAGTTGGATTCCCATACAAATGAGATTTAATTCTCATCCTGGATCTTAACAATATTTACTTTCCAATGATAGTCATCTCTGCAATGACTTTTTGCATATTTTCTGAAGCCCAAAGTAAAAAGCTGGGATTTTTATTTGAAATACAGTAAGTAAGACTCACTTTCAAACAATTTCAAGTCGACAAGAAGTTAACAAAATAACTGTAGGCATTTGTAGTTGTAAAACCTCCTGCTTAATAAAAGGAAAAGAGAAGAACAAATTGTGTTAGATGAATATTAGAGCCGGATTCCTCTAGAAGGTGTTCAGACTACAACTCTCAAAAATCAACGGTCTAGAATTCCTGTTTGGACAGCACCCAACTGGTGAATGACAACAGTGGGTGGGGGGGGGGGGAAACTGCAGCTTCAGCAGACAACAGACGATCAAAACCACTCCGGAGGCGCGCGCTTCTCCGCAGGACAGCTTTTTTGTGATTGGCTAACGATCCTCCTGAACGTTGAAGTGACGCGCGAGCGGGCTGGGCGAAGGACCACCCACTTTCTCTACCCTTTACGCCTCCAAGCTGTCTCAGCTGCCTCTTCAAGTCGTTGCCACAGCCAATCAGGTGCGCGTTCCGGATTTGGGTCCGCCTATCCGAAAGGGGGTGCTGTCGCACATTCCCTGCGACTTACGCACAGGGAGCGAGGTCCCTCCGTTCGGAGTTGAGGGGCAGGAAACGACGAGTGGCGGTTTTTTGCCCGACGCTGGAGCTAGAGAGTCGCCCGAAAAGGCGGAGGCGAAGTTGGGCGGAGCGGCTGGCGGAGCTTTCTTCTTTTCGGGCCCCGCAGCAGACACGCGAGGGGACGGAGGGAGAGGCCACCGAGCAGGGGCCGAGGAGGGTCTCGCCATGGCGATCCGCAAGAAGACGAACAAGAACCCTCCGGTGCTCAGCCATGAGTTCGTCGTGCAGAACCACGCGGACATCGTCTCCTGCATGGCCATGGTCTTCCTGCTGGGGCTCATGTTCGAGGTGAGAGGCGGGAGAAGGCAAAGGCGCTGCAAGACCTCAGCGAGGCTGCCGGACACCCGATAGGAAGGGCCGGGCGGAGGTTAGCGGGGAAGATGTTTCCGACCAGGGGGCACCGAATGGGGATGGTTAACACCAGGAAAGCCAGAACTGATTTCTAGTCGCAGGGCGTGAGCCTTTCAGTGCCTCGGTTGCCGCTTCTCCTGCCGTTGCCGGGGTGGGGTAAATGCAGTGCCTGAATCCGTGTACGTGTTAGAGATACCCAGATACCCTGTGAACATATGGATTCCCTCCCTCCCCTCCCAGTACCACTAATTGCTTGGCTGATTAGGAGGAGGAGGAGGAGGAAGGCGATCGTCTCTTGCTCGCAAATCTTTGTCGAAACTACCAGGTCGCTAGCATAGAAGAAGAGGAAAATAACAAGCAAGCGGCGATCGGGTCCTACTGTGTGACTCCCATGTGGAAGAGTCTGTCCTCCGGGTCATAGCTGGTCATCTCGGTCGTTCCTCCTATTATTGCCTGCTCTTGTCTGAAAAGAAGGGGGCAGGTAGGGCTGTACATAGTAATGACAGCTAGCGAGGTGATGCGAACTAGCAAACTCAAAAGGTGCAACCACCTGCCGGCGGGAGCAGTGGTCCCTTCTCCACGGGTACGGCCGGTCGGGTCCTTGTCCCTGTTGGTTCATCAGACCGTTAGACTCTCGTCCAAGAGGGTCCACTCCAATCCCACCCACTGCAGCTCTGTCGCCCGTCTCAGTGGAGCTTTTTCGGGCACCTGCAGCGTCCTGGCGCAACCGGGGTTTAAATACTACGCCGAAAGCCCGTTTTGCACTCGTTTGTATTTTACGCCCCTTTCCTGGGAAATCAATTATGGATCGAACGGGTTTGGAGGCAAGCCTTTGCAGCAGCAGCGATGCTGAGCTGACCGAAACTGGCAGGGGAGAGGAAAAGAGAGAGAGGGAGAGAGAGTTGCATGTTTTTGGAAAAGGAGCTGTGCCCCGCACGCTTCGTTCCAGCGCGGGAGTTCCTGGTCTCGGATGGGTTACGTGGCACTCGATGGCGGGGCGGGGGGGGGGGGGGGGGGGGGGGGGGGGGGGCCCGGGGGGGGGAGGGGGGGGGGGGGGGGGGGGGGGGGGGGGGGGAGCGAGAGAGAGAAGACGCGCTGCCTTTTGTGTGCAGCCGACGAACTACAAACCCCATGGGGCGTTGCGGCAAGCGACTCCTCCCCTCCGCTTCGGAAAAGGTGAAATGGCTGGTGACGTGTACAAGAGAGCCGCCCGCGGTGCACATCCGAAGGGGCGGGGTTGGTTCACGCCCCTGAGGATGGTGTGACACGTATCCAGTTTTGCCTGTTACAGCTGGAGTGTAGAAACGGGTACCGGAAGAAGGGCTGCAGCAGGCCCCCAGTTCCATAGCTTGCTTTTCGAGGGGGGCGGGAGGGACGGGGACACAAAAGCTTTGGAGCTTCGCCCACTGTTAGAAAATTTGCTCCAGAAGATAATAAAGCGTTTAAATGGCGTAACTTTCGCATTTCTAGTTCTGATCACTTTTACCATGGAGGAAATCATTGCCTTCTTGAAAGGTGTGAAATGAGAATTCCAAGGAAGAATATTCAGTCCTGTGCTGAATAATCATTGGCTGAAATCCCAAACTTCGTAGGCTGAATATCCTGTGGATTATGGATTGGCTTTCCATTCAGATTTTTTTTTTTCCTGAATGCAACCGGTATCGTTAATGCAGAGTTCAGTGTTGTGCAAAGCCAGGAAATTGGATTGAGTAACCCATTCTTAAATCAATGATGGTTCACTATGAACTCAGCCACCACTGTGTAAAATGTATTTAATCAGTGTAATACTAATTTAGTTCTTCATCATATGAAGAAGAGATTGCAGAAGATGAAGTCTGTTCAGTATTATTTTGCCAATCTGTGATTTCCTAATAGGTTTGTCCTGATTAAATTTCTAATTGGCTAATGACTGCTATAAGGCTTTTGTGGTTAAAAATAATAATTTGATAGCAGCATTACCATTAATACAATACAATTATTTGGACACAGCTGTATTTTATAACTCATTTGCCATGCTGTAGATATAGTTTCCTTCCAGGTAACTGGCCAAGGAAGTTTATATTCAGTTCTTCCCATTGAGCTTCAAACAAACAAACAATAGCAAGCAACCCAAAAAATTGCCTCAATGCTTATTTGCAATTAGCCAGTTATCCTTTATTTTTGACTCGGCCTGGTTCATTATTTTTCAGTTTGTTCAATGTATTTTTTCAGATATATGAAAGAATGTAGATGTTCCTATGATTTACTGTGCAATCACAGTTTTATTCAGACAAATTGTTTTATTGCAGGTTACAGCCAAAGCAGCTGTTGTCTTTGTTACACTTCAGTACAATATTACCATTCCTGTTACAGGTAATCTTCTAATAAATGTTTGGGTATTTGTATGCAATATTATTGTACACCAGGAACATATTGTATCTTGAATGATAACCAAATGTGAATGACATACAGAAGCACCAGCAGGAATGTTTAGTGGGTGTTAATAAAGCTGCTCCAGTTGTGGCTTGAGACCACAGAAGTGGTTTAGATATATAATCATACTGGTTCAATTCTGAATCAGTGCTGTTTGAAAGGCTCTGAGATTTGGATTCTTTCAGTCTTTGCTCATTCTTCCTCTCATGGAGGGAGATTTCATCTTTTTCTTGGTTTGTAGAAAATCAATTACCCTGTTTCCCCCAAAATAAGACATCCCCTGATAATAAACCCAGTTGGGCTTTGAGTGCATGGCAATAAGGCCAAACACTTATTTCACGGTTCAAAAAAATATTAAGACAGGGTCTTATTTTCGGGGAAACATGGTAGTTCTTTCATCAAAACAATAAAATATGATTTGTCTATATTCTTTATCTTATGGTAAGATGCGCAGCCAATAAATTAGATAGATGATAGAAAGATAGATGATAGTTAGATCCACAGTCAGACAGACAGACACAATATAAAAGCCCAGTGTCACAATTTGATTCAAGTTTCTAATTTTGACTTGCATTTAATGTACAAGCAAATCTTTGTGAGTTCTAACAAAATGACATATCTTTGCATACGGCAAATCTAGAAAGGAATCAGTTTTCTAAAAGAGGAAATAAATCTTACAAAGCTTGTTTACATGGTATGAAACTATGGCTTGGCATCTGCTTTGCATCCTCTAAAGGGGTATTGCTTGAACTTTCTATAACACAAACCACTAAATGTTCCGAAAAGACATAGCCTTCCCTTCTTCTTCTCATGTTAAAAGAAATCCCATGATGAATTTGTTTATAATATAGTCATGTCCTCCATTTTAAAAGAACTTTTTAAATTAACTTTTTTATAAAAAAAAAAGTATGTCAAAATGAAGAGCTTACTTGTTTACTTGAGCTAAGAGGTTAGCAGACTCTGGACAACTGACTGTTAGAGACCTGGTTAAGTGCACCATCAGCCAGCTGGCCAAGCCAGAGCCTACTTTCTGCTTTCATTCAGCCTCTCTCTTGCATCAATGGTCAGCCAGCCAGCTAATTGCCAATGAAAAGAGAAGGGCAGAGCTAAGGCAGAGGACAGGCATTAGCAAATCAACCTGGAAATCCCTATGAACCAGCAGTGATCTGCAGATCACAGTTTAGGAATCATAGCTTAAATTAAATCTATTTGTTTGCTAATGAACTTTTGAATTTAAAATTTGGACAGGAAGATAGTAAAAATCTGATCAATGACAATATTTTAAACTGTTACCAGGGTTGTTCTTCCTGTACTACTACTGGTTAGTACTGGCTTGGAATATAGAAACAAAATATATGTTTTTATTCCTGATATAAATTGGATGAGGCTGGTTAAAACAAATGCATTCTTAAATATTGTTCTTTTTTCCTCTCAGAAAACCAGCCTACAGAAACAGTGACATTATATCATTATGGTATCAAAGATCTGGCTACTGTTTTCTTCTACATGCTAGTGGCAATAATCATACATGCTGTTATTCAAGAATATGTGTTAGATGTAAGTACTGTTTGTTAGAATAATAACGGGCACTACTACAGTAGAAGTTGATTGATTGCATTATGGATGTTTGATATATATGACAAGTAACTTACTATCTTAACTATCAATAATGAGATACCTTTTTTGTTTAGAAAATTAACAGGCGAATGCATTTTTCCAAAACAAAACACAGTAAATTCAATGAATCTGGACAACTCAGTGCATTTTACCTTTTCTCTTGCGTCTGGGGAACAAGCATCCTTGTGTCGGTGAGTAAGTCAGAGGAAGATATATAATGGGGAGTAAAACAGTTGACTATGATCACACAATTATGTTGCCTTGAAAATAGTCACCACATCAAAATTGTTTTTCATTTTCTTTATAATTCCCTTTTGAGTCATTAGTACTGTTTTATCGTAATGGAATGCTCAAAGTATCAGTGTTAGGTTTTCCAGAAAAATTGTAAGTACACAGATAGTGCCATTCATTTTATTGCTTGATGGGAAAGTCAAAGATAAATAATATACTAATAATGGCTGCTCTTATTGGCTGCAGTATACAAGTGAAAAGATCCAAGAAAGAGCAATACTTTCCTGGGACAGTAGATACCGAAGTTTAAAATGATACACTTAGAATGCAAAATATATATATATAATATGCTGCTAAATGAAATTATTAAGTGGGGGTTGTAGTTGGGGTGTATAAGTTTATCAACTTATTTGTTAACGACGACTTGCCATCCAAGATACATTTGTGGCTAGGAAAGGCTCTCAGATAGTTTTTATGGTACAACAAGGAGTTCACATTTTGTTGAAGTTGCCTTATATGCATCTGGCATTAATTTGAGCTCTATGTAGTTCACATAAAACTGTTGCTTCTCTTTCTTGAATTTAGAAGCACTTTGTTTAAAATGAGGAATCACAGTTCAGTTTGAGGCTTGCTAATTCATTTAACTCAGATTTCTATGTCAGCCTTCCATGCTATCGGACATGCTTAGAAAGAGGTTAAGCAACTTCACAGGGCATTGGATTAATATTTCCTGTGTCTTATTTTCAGGAAAACTATGTATCGGATCCAACATCACTCTGGAGAGACTACCCACACACATCAATGCCGTGAGTTTTTTTAATTAAGAATTTAATTAATAATTTCTTCTATCCCACCTGACTTTTGTAGTTATTAAAATAATCATCTACTTAATTATGTATAAAGATATATAGTATTTTCAGGCAAATAACAAGTTATTTTATTAGCAATGCATCTACAGTAATCTTATGTCATTAGTTTTTATATGCTCCAAAAAATTTCAAATATTACTCCATTGTAAAAACTTAGCCCAATAAAGGTTTTTATATGAAATAATCAGTACATTTTAATTTTGATTTGTACATGTTGTATTCTGCAGGTTTCAAATGAAGTTCTTTTATATCTCACAGATGGCATACTGGTTTCATGCCTTTCCAGAATTCTATTTTCAGAAGATAAAAAAAGTAAGATTGCATCTAATAAATACCTTGTCCACAAGCTTACAAATTAAATGCATAAATAATACATATGGTTATCTAGCCAACAAGCAGAATTTTGTCTATGGGATTTGCAAAGAAATGTACCTTTGAAATGGAATTTGCGCATAATCTGAAAAAAATGTCAGAGAGAATGTAAGGTTTAGATATGTAACTTCAGGCTCTTGTGCTCTTGTCCCACGTGCATATATGGAAGGCTTTGCTTCCTGTTCCAGCCAGTCCAAATCTGTCTCCCTTTTCCCTGCTTTTGCAACCAGTTCGAGCAGCTTCTCAAATTGAGAAACAACTTCTTGATTAGTTTTAAAGAACCAAGAAATGAACCTTCCGTAATTTCTTCTTCTAAGATTGTAGTTTAACATTATGTCTCTTCCCCACCCTCAAATATGCCCCATATTCAGTTTTGGACTGTTGTGACAAGAGCTGCTACAGTATGGAACTGAAGTTATAAATCTACCTATCCTGGAACTTCTGATGATATCCTGAGCGATATCATTTATTTTAATAAAGCTTTTTGGCGGATTTCATACAGTACACCAAGACATGAATAAATAAACTGTTACAGCGTAGCATGTTATATACCCTGTCATAGTGTCCTTTTTTAAAATCACTACATAAATTAAACAATATTTTTAGGCACTAATGGAATAGTTAAGTGTTTTATATCATTAACATGTATGGTATTTTCCATTAAAAACAAAAGTAAGCAAGAAAAAGAGGATTTATTGATCAGACAATTTTGCAGTAAATTAATGAGTTTAATATTTTTTCTAAGTATTCTTAGATAATGGCCAACAATTCCTATAATTCCGAAACAGCATATTCTGCAACCTTTGGGGCTGACAATTGGAGAGGGATATAGATAAGAAACACAATTATGAAAGCTAATTGAATATGATAAAAATTCTTGGAGCATTCATAAGCTTGCATCTCTTTCATAGGAAGACATTCCTCGCCAGCTTGTTTACATTGGACTATATCTTTTCCATATCACTGGAGCTTATCTGTTAAAGTGAGTGGCATTGTTATTTTGCTGGGGGAGGGAGTCCGGTAATTTGTACGATACAGTCCAATCATTTGTAATAAATAAAGTTTTAAAAAATTGTGCCTCCAATGATGCTTTAAAGATCATGTTGCAATATTTCCTGCAGCATAGTTTAGAAGCCAAATTAAGCTATATCAATTGTACATATCAATTTTATGTACAATTTTTTATGTACAAATTTTATATGTACAATTTAAGTGCATATCAATTTTCAACATGTACCAATGATTAGAAGGTTTCCATCCCACATTTTATTAGATAGCATGGCAATAGCAAAGGTCTCTAGAAAGAGAGAACTTGGCAGCTACTCATTCGTGGAATCTGCTGTCTTCCCTACCATGCAAATAGATGTATATTGTTCTTTACACAATTCAAAGGAAAGATGAGACAACACCAGTTGCCATCCTTTAGTTGTGTTGAGAATTTGAGGTTGGTATTCTATCCTAGATGTACCAAATGTTCTCAAAATCCACTTTTATGACAAACAGTTCTTTACTTTACTTTACTTTTACTTTTATTTGATTTATATACCGCCCTACTCCCGAAGGACTCAGAGCGGTGAACAGCCAACAATAAAATACATACATACAAAATTTAAAAAGCAGAGATAAAATCGAATTAAATAGTTCGGCCCAGACAGATTTAAAACCCCAATTAATTTAAAACAAATTTAAACTTTGAATATTAAAAATACTAAAAAATATTGAAAAATATTAAAAATGTTTAAAAAGAAGGAGAAAGTTAGGCCAGGCCCGCCTGGTGAAATAAAAAGGTCTTTAGAGCGCGGCGGAAGGTGCGCAGATCCGGGATCCTCCGTATATCCGGGGGGAGCTCGTTCCAGATAGTAGGTGCCCCCATAGAGAAGGCTCTCCCCCTGGTGGCCACCAGTCAACATTGTTTGGCCAATGGCACCTGGAGGAGCCCCTCTCTATGAGAGAGTACCGGCCGGTGGGAGGCTATTGGTGGTAGTAGTTCTAAAGGTCTTTTGTTTCTTTGGCAATTAACATCTGGTGTATTCTTTTTCTTTTTTATAGTTTGACCCATCTTGGTCTTGTTCTTCTTGTGTTACATTACTTCGTGGAGTTTCTGTTCCATATCTCCAGACTTTTTTACTTCAGTGATGAAAAACACCAGAAAGGGTACGTGCTTCTACTTGTCATATCTCACATATACTATCTCTCACATTATAAATGTTGTATAGAAATATTGTTCATATTTAGTTAATACTTGCTGCATGCATAAATACATACATATATTGTATATAACAATACAGTGAATATTACCTACTTTTTAGATAAATCAAAGATGTATGCTGTTTGTCATATATTAGTAGCTGTGCTTATATGAGCTTTTTATTCAAAATAGAATTAAACACAATTGGTATATTATTTACATGCAAGGAGCTCAAATTTGTTCATTTTAAAGGATGGTCTTGATTTGTCCATACCTAGGAATATTCGCATAGAATATATCCTTCAATGAAGAATACCTTTAAATAATAAATGCCTTTCCAGAAGATTTCTTGTGCCTTATTTATCAGTGGGGGATAGCAATGTTGTATCAAATCCGTGCCAGAGCTCAATAGTATCATATACAGCAGAATCTTTCCTGATACGTTTCAAAAATGTTTTTTCTTAGCAGGCAGAATTATTCGCCCAGAAAACTTAGTACATAATGCGTATAAATATCTGAAATTGAAGATGTGAGTAACACAATTGGTGAATGAATTCTGATAAATCACATATCTCTTATTTCTTTTTGCTAGGTTTACATTGTGGGCTGTTCTTTTTGTTTTGGGAAGACTCCTGACCTTAATTCTGTCTGTCCTTACTGTTGGATTTGGCCTTACTAGAGCAGAGAATCAAACTTTGGATTTTAGTACTGGAAACTTTAATGTGCTACCAATCAGGTATAACACAGATATGTGTTCTTGGACCATATGATATTAAAACATAATAGTTAAACATTATTTTCAAAGAGATTTGTCTTGAACTAATTGCTTGAGAAAGCTGTTGAGAAAGTCTTTATTAGGAATATTGGGTATATTATTAGAAGAAAGAAAATGAATATTTAAAATACCTTTTACTATATTTTGCAAATTCTTTTGTCATTTTTATGATGCTTTAAAATCATAATTTTCCTAACCTGGGCTTGCTTGAATCATTTTCAGGGGAGGGAAAACTAAATTCTAATGTTCCAAATTAGCCGATGCTTGCTAATTGTGTCATCTGTTTTGAATTAGAATAAATAAGATAATTATATGATACAGATAGTCCTTGACTTGTGATGGTTTGTTTAATGACTATTCAAAGTTGCGATAAGACTGATCTTCTCACTTAACAATCATCACTGAACTCCTGCAGTCACTTGATTGCAATCTGAGTGCTTGGAAGCCGGTTAATAACACTTGCAGCATCGTGCAGTCTCATGATCACCATTTGCAACCTTCCCAGCTGGTTTCAAAGCAAAGTCCATGGGAAAGCAGCAGATGGTCACAAGTCAGAGTCATGTAATTTCTCACTTAATTACCATGGTTAAGTTGCTCAATGACCAAAGCAACAAAAGTTATAAAATTGGGGGCAATCCTGTCACTGCACCACTTAATGACAAATTATTGTGGTAAATCAAGGGTCACTTGCAAGTTCATGGTTACCAAAATATTTAATAGTGAATGGCACCAAAGTTAAGAGTCAGGGTGAAAATACATTCTTTTAGCATATTCTGTTTTCCCTTTAACAACTTTCCCAAAGGCACCAGCTCTTCCTAGGTTCTGTATCTGTATTTTTAACAAAAAAAAAAATCTGAAATTAGGCTGAGAGCCTCACATTTCTTAATCCTGTATATAAAACCTGGCACTAAATTTACTTTGATTTTTTTTTCCAATGTTACGTTTTAATTACAGTTTGATGGTAGAGTGAAAGTGACTGCTTAGTGCTGTCTGATAATTAGAAAGTACAAAAAGGAAGAAGAGGAGAAATAACAGCAAGAAGCTTGATGCACACTTTCAGAATAACCGTGTTTATTTTTTATTACAGAAGACTCTGACTGTATTTGCAGTTCTTGGAAGCATGCTATCACAATATTTTCTATTCTTCAAATATTGTGCTGGCATTTATCTAGCCATATGGTTTGATCTCTTTCAGAAGATATAGTAAAAATGGTCTTCAGAATGCAAGACAGATGTGCCCCAGGTTAAACTATTATATCTCATCTTCTGATCCATAGCATCCTAATTTAGTTGCTGCATAGAAACATGAACTTGCATTTTCTAATATATGTATTGCTATTTATGATCTTCCTTTTGCTAGTCCACCAATATACCAAATTGTTTGCACTGGTGACAAGCAAATTAAATATTAATTAGTGGCCTTCAAGAAACATCTTCTTAAAAGAAACAGTTTTTCTAATACTTTCCATCTCTGGATCATCAGGAATTCTAATATTCTGTATCTGGTCTTTATAGAATCAGTGTGCTGGCATCAATCTGTTTAACACAGGCCTTTATGATGTGGAAATTCATTAATTTCCAATTAAGAAGGTGGAGAGAACATTCTTCCCCTCCTCAACCAATGAAAAAGAAGTTTATGACAACAAAAGGCAAGCTATCGAAAAAAGAAAGAGGTTAGTGCTTTAATTAGATTTCTGTATACTTTTGGCAGAAGTACAAAAAGGAAGTAGTTGCTTTGCACAAGTAGGAAACTATAAATGATGTGGTTTAATCTGATAACAAGTTCTCTAATACAAATCTCAAACACATCATTGGTCATCTAGTACAGGCAATTCTTGGGTTACTAAAACTCATTCAGTGACTGTTCAAAGAGAACAATTTCGCTGAACAACCCAGTGTGCAAAGTTGTGGCCATTGCATCATTCCTGTGGGTCATGTGAATGAATACTGGGCAACTGGCTTGCAATTACAATGGTTGCAGTGTCTTGCAGGCATATAGTCACCATTGGCAAAATTACCTGCTGACTTCCCACAAGTCAATTGGAAAGCCAGCAGGAGGTTGGAAGTCTCTCACTAGCTCTCCATAGCACCCACCAGTGGTGGATTTCTACTGGTTCACCCCACTTTGGGCGAACCGATAGTGGCGGCGGTGGGAGGTTCTGCCCACCTGCCCGGACGTCATCTTAGACGCTCTGTGCATTTGCAGTAGCGCTGTGAGGAAAGCAAGCACGCACGCGCACACATGCTCCCGGTTCTGAACCAGTAGCAAGTAAGTGGAACCCACTACTGGCACTCACCCCATAGCGCTTACTCTCGTTCCAAAGGCCAACATGCAGCACCACCACACACACACACCTTCCTCACACATACAAACATCAGCCTGCTTGCCTGGAATTCCTGCCCATGTTGTCGTCATGTCAGGTCCTCACTTAACAACCCACATGATTCTGGAGTTATGATGGCAACCAGCACTGCCAAGATTGCCAACAGTAAACAGTGTGATCACCTGAATGTCACACTTTACGCCTGCATCTCTTAATGATGGAAATTCCAATCCCAGTTGCCATCATAACCCAAAGACTATCCGTATTTCCCAGGCAGCTCACAAATGGACTATTATACTTATTTCTCCAGAGTACTAGTAGATGGCTTGGCCTATCTTGTTACATATTTGGCCTGGGGAATGAAGAAAAGGGGAAGAGAGGAGCAAACTTGGGCAAAACTATTAAGTTCTTCAAGTGAAATCTAGAATAGAATACAGGGTCAGAGAAGAAAAAATGCATTGCTATCTCAGAAAATATGAGTGATGGCCCTGCATACCTTCGGCACAATTGCTGAGAGAATGTTACCACATAGAGGGAGAAAACTGATGAGCTGTATTTTCCAGAACGATCTGCTTCCTCCCTTTCCCTAATGTTCTAAAGTGGTTGAAAGTGATTCAGTCATTTTTTGTTAGAGGCGAAAATGAATACCATTTTAAAATGGGCCGGTAGAAATCTCTGGTCATTATACTGTTAAAACATCTGTGAGAAACATTCTGATTTATGATGTGCTTGAAGCTTCTTCCCCTGAATTAATTTTAAAGTTCTCTATTAAGATGTTTTAAATCTTCATAATGTATGGGCTTGGAATCCAGAGAAAAGAGTTAATTATTATGTTTGTTTGTTTTTTATTTTTAGAAAATGGAATCAATGGAACATTAACTTCAAATGGAGCAGACTCACCTCGCAACAGAAAAGAAAAATCGTCTTAAAACAGAACTTTATTAAATTAATTGACTAATATCCCCAAAGAGAACTGCTTTTTACTTGGAAGGTCCTTCAGCACCATAGTTCCTACTGTTAACAAAAAAATATAATAAAATTAATGCCTTTTTGATTACTGATATCAGAACGTTTTGTGCAACCTTTTAAATATTTAAATGAAAAAGGCCAATTTATTTTTAATAGCCATAAAAATCTTTTTGGGTATTAATGAAAATTCACTTCTAAAACCAGTACAGTAATACAGTCTGACATTCCTTATAGTTTTATAGTGGTTGAATTTAATCCATCTGAATACGATGTTAGGACATTTTTTGTTTTAAAGGAGAAGTTAAATCAAGGTTAAAGTTGTACTATTTTTTTAGGCATTCTCTTATATTTAGGTTTGTATTTTGAAATACAGCTTGGAACAGAATTTGTAAACTGACAAAACAATCAATTTTTTGTAGATAATATCTACACTGATTCAAGAAATTCCCTCACACAGTTGACTGATTAAAATGTTGCTGTGTATGCATTTATCTAGGAATCTCTTGTGTAATTCTGGATTTAGTAAGAAGTCGTTTAGGAAGTAACTGAATGGTGGCCAGCCATTGAGGCCAGTGACAACTTACCACCTCCCAGCTTGTTGGAGGTGGTAAGTAGACATTCCATGACATGGCCAGAATTTTTCAGACTTTGCAAAGTTTAAAGGTGGAAATGGGTGATGAACCAGACTGCTGTTACTCTCACCTTTAAAATCTATACAAGATCTGTAAACTGCTAAAAATCCTCTTATTGAAATTCCTTTGCAAGGTACCAGCACTTCAATAGTGCAGTTTGTGGAAGGAGAGATTTTAAGGGAAGAAATGGAAGAAGTTTTCTGGAAATCAGCCATTTTTTTTCTTTGAATTTCAATAATGTATTGGTGCTGACCATCCTTATGGAGTTCATAGATTCACAGATCCTAATCTATGAATATTAATATTTAGTTAAGTCAAATACAACTTGTATGGAATTCAAAATAGTATTGAGTCTTTTATTTTGTTATTATATTCAAATCTAGCCTGTCCTTTTGGAGCTCAAGGCATTGCACTTCAAAATCTCATATGCTCCTTACAACAGCCCTTCAAGATAGACCACACTTAGTGATGTAGCTGGCCCAGAGTTATCTCACGAGTATTATGATCTGTTTGTGATCTGAACTTGGGTTTCTCTAGACCCATGACTACACTTAAGCTACTATTCCACAAAGGTTATATTATGATGATTGTTTCTCAGCTTTTTAAATTATATCTGATATAATTAAAGGAGAGAACACAGAAATAGCAGTGGCTAACAAAATGATAACTTTACTTCCTAAGCTGATGAAAGGAATTCATTTCTACTTGCAACCTCAAACATCTTTGCTCTCAATTGTAAATGAGCAATGTGGGCAGCTTACTTGAAGTTCATAACGCTATACTCGAAAATATTTTTGCTGGCCCAGAAAGTATTGTTCTTACTGCATATTGGGCACAGATATAGCTTCTAATTTTCTATATTGTACAATTAACAAAATTTTAAAGTTTTTTTTTTTTAAAACTGGTAGCAATAGGAGTCAGCTAATCACCAGTAATGCCTAAGAAGAGCCTTTTTGCAACTAATTTATGTTTTATATTTCTAGCTTCCAAATGGTTAAAGCAGCCAAACAGCTTATTGTCTGGTACTTTTTTCAGTTTTTGCCACTTTTTTTATGGATTAGGATTAACAGAAAAGCTGAGTTCTTGGAATAGCTATTGGATAGAATGTAGTAGATCTATATGAGTTTCAGCTTCACAGTTTAAAAGTAGCTGCTTAAATGAAAGTGTGAAAAATATATGAATTCAGTAGTATAGTAGTTCTGAAACATGCTTAAAAATTATCTTTTTCTTGTAATTCTGCTCTGGATTATGACTGATTGTTATCAATATGATAAAAATAGATCCAATCTAACTAGAATCATTTTGGGGAGAAAAGACAAAATATTGTACAATGTCCCCAAAAACCTTTCTTCTAAAGAATGGCATGCTGTCTTAAAATAAGTAAAAATCGTTTGATGTCTAACTAAACAAAATCTGTCTTTATGGAAATAAGGAAGAATCACAAACTTCCCTTTTTCTGTACAACAGTAGTGCATTTATCATATATGAGTCTGGGATATTCAATTTTATAAGCAGCTGAAAATGCATTCCCTTGTTAGAAGTGTTTCTCTTGTCTGTTTATTCTCTAACACTACTGTCTGTTTATCCAATACTAATCCTTTGAACCAGATTTCCCTGCCTTGTAACCATGATACAAAGGGCTTTGACAGCAGTACTTTCCTGTTGTTGGAGTTAGGTGTGTCTATTTTTTGAAAAAGTCCTTACCTTGAATAATTGGATTATGTTGCTGATTTGCGATATGTGTGAGCTTTGTATCCAGGTAGTTTCAACTTTCCTTTTCTACTTGAAGAGGAGGTGGAATAAGGTGGAGCTAATTTTAGCTATATTTTTGTTTCTCTTTATGATCTTTCTTTTGCTTAATATTTCTTTCTTCTTTCCTGTATTTACCATGATGTTGTTTATTTTGAAAAGGAATAGAGTGATGGATATTTATAGTCCAGCTTTTTCTTTCAGACAAATAGCAAAGAAATGAAAGCCACAGATTACATTTCTCTTTTTAACTCTATGCCACAGTCTGTGCTATATTTTTCCCCCGGAAATGGAAAAGTTTAAAAAACTTACATGCTGAGCTGAGATTAAGAAAGCGTTAAAGGAACTAGTGGCTTCTGTTTCTCAATAAGGAAACTGTCACACTTGGAAAGCTTTGAACATGGTGAATGGTTTTGATGTGGTAGTCGGTATCAAAGCCATAACTTTAACAGACATTGAAGTGAAATTTCAGCCTTATGCCAACTCTGAAAGGTAGATTTGACATAGATTTAGATATTTGGCATGCAAGGTATTGCTGTCAGCATTCCAAGTAATGCACCCATTGAAAGTAGAACTCCGAGGCAGGTAGATTCCTCAAAGAACAGTTTATTATTGTATACATCATATTGGCACAACTGGTGAAAACCGACTGAATGTTCCCGTGGTTTTCACCTAATTAAAAGGTGAAAGTTTTCCCCTTCCCCCAAGTCATCAGTCACATTGTACTGGCAGTCGCTTGGTTACTTCACTCCTCTCTCAGCCACCTGTTGGAATGACCTTGGTTCCCACCGGAAAACTTTTTGTTTTGACTGCAAAGCCCCAGTAAACTATTCCTCCCTCCCTGTCCCTCTTCTGCCTTGTGGCAACCCACACAGATTGCTTCAGCCTGGTTCGCTTCAGGGTTGACAAATGCTTAGTTACATTGTGGGGAAGGGAGGCGGTATTTTCCTGCAGATAATCAGAATAATACATCTTTTAAAACTAAGAAAAGAAAATTTAACTAAAAATTTATTAGACTGTAATATTACAAGACCTAGAAAACACTGTGGCAGAGAGGAAAAGGAGAGATTTAGGAAAGGAGAAAGATTGGACACACACTGTCTGAAAATGTTATTTATCTCCAAGGATAAAATACAAAAGGGGGAAAACAAACTTAACAGACGTACAAAAACCAAAACCACATGTGCAAAAAGAACTCCAAATATTGTGGGAAAATGCATGCCCAAAACTCAGCATGATACATGTCTGCAGCAGGAAAATCTGACTGGATAAAACATTTATCATAACCAGACCATCTGAAAAGGGTTTAGAAGCAGGTTGATAGCAACTGTAGGCTCGTTCATTTAATCGTATCCATCAGCAAAAAGTGGTGATATTGTGAATTATTGTCATGGAATGCAGTGAGCACTATTTATGTTGCAAATGAGTCCGTTAGCTTAAATTTGTTACAAAAAAATCAAGAAGTAATTTCATAGCTAGGTGATAAACATTCTCAAGGAGAAAGTTTGTAAGTTTTGTAATGCAACAAAAAAGGGAAGATGGGGAGGAGGAAGAGTTTCTTTTATAAATGCTGAAGAAAAAAAATAACAGCATGTTTGGGAAGCAACAGAAATTCATGATTAATAGTGGGATTGTATAGAAATTTATTTGCAACAGTCTTATGCAGTATTTTTAAATTGGGAATAAAATTGTCGCCAGCATTTTTTTTTCTCAGACAGAGCCATTCACCCATATGTTTGGGTTATTTTGTAGTGCAGTTTGCTTGGAACAATAATATGGCTGATGTTCATGTACATCAAGATCCATTATTTGGCTGAAAAGTACCCTTGACCTTTATATTCTGTAAAGCAACACTACAAACCATATTATAATCATTATGGTTATAAGTGCAAGGACCAGTTGTAAAATTACTTTTTCAGCACTGTTGTAATTTTCAATGGTCACTAAACAAGGCAGTTGTTAACCAAGGACATGTTCCACAATATTTTGGCAAATAAAATTGGCAGCAGAATCTTGCCATTTGACAACTATTGTAATGAACAGAGGTTCTATAAAGTTCACTGTTTCCTATCTCAAGTACTTTGGAAGCTTATCAAAAGGCAATAGAATTTAGCCTAAGGACTCTTCTTGTTGGCATATGGTTGATGTTGTTAGCTATACAGTAACTGTTCAAGAGCTCTGCCATAGACTGACAGGAGTTTTTGGCAGATGCCATTAAAGAGAACTTAAACCAAATGAAAGCAAATACCACTTTGGTCTTGAAGAAATTGCTATATCAGGACATGTCTCAGCTGAAGGACTTAAACTTGAGCCAAAGAAGGTTGAAGCTGTTCTGCAAGTTGCAACTCCTGAAAATCTGGATTTGCGGCATTGTTTTACCTGTCTGACTTATGAAATGTATCCCTAATTATGCAGATATTTGAGAGCCACTGTGCTTGCTGACTATATTGAAAATGACTCCTAACTACAAAAGGGACCATCGGCACAGGTTTACAACAGCTAAGTGCATAAAATGCATTAATTTAGGAATGTTGTCTAGTATAATCAGAAAATATCAACTTTTGTGGTAACTGGTGCCACTCCTGTGAACTTGGTTACATTTTGCTATAGACAGATCAAAGAAACCTGTTTCATATGTGAGCTTTCTTTTCTGCAACAAAGGTATTGCTAAATTAAGCCTGAAGCTTGGGATGTACACAGTTATACAATTG